ATTTCAGGTGACTACCTCTTGAAGCTCATCGAGAGAATGCCAAGAGTGTGCTTTTTTTCTTAAGTACATAACTCCACATGTGTTCATTCATAGTTTTGATGCCTTCAGTGAGAATCTACAATGTAAATAGTCATGAAAATAAAGAAAATGCATTGAATGAGAAGGTGTGTCCAAACTTTTGGCCTGTACTGTACATCAAGAAATAACTCTAGTCAGTTTGGCTGAAATAAAATACCTATGTAATTATGGAAATATTCTTATTTGCTTCCTTGACAATTTGATAAGACAAGTGACACCACTCAAATGTCTGTCAGTTAAGTATGGCGCTAAAGCCAGCAGCCGTTTAGTTTAGCTCAGAGATGGAAAAAATACTATCATATATTACTCAAATACAAATACAATCACTAATGTAAAATTGTAAAGTTAATAGTTGGGCACTTGGACTCTTGAGTAAAAATTAGTGAGGAAAGGGAAAAGGGAGAAAACGAATATAATGATGAAGCACAGACCCATAAAATCAAAGTACATATTTGGTGGGGCTGGGGGTCACCAGAGGTCCCACGATACAATATTATCATGATACTTTAGTCATGATACCCTATTTCTGTAATTTTAAATGTTTTGCAACATACTGAGTATTGCAGTAACATCTATTGCTACTTATAACCAATTATTATTTTTTTAACTGCAACTTAAATCCTAAAAGAAAACTTTGTCAACATCTGTTTTATCTAATTCGATCATCTCACTTAATTTACTCATTTTTATTGCAGTAAGACGCATCCAATGAACTGAAGGAACAATTATTTTATTATCATAATGGGCTACCAAAAGTTTAATTTGTGTTCGCATATGATTTCAAAAAAAAAAAAAAAAAAGATTGATACTTGGCTTCCCTGTATGGATAAAATATTGCCGCACAAAATATCACGATACCATGCCATATCAAATTTGTCCCCAACCCCTTATATTTAGGCTATAAAGTGCACAGGTCAACAGTAGAGCCTAAACATCACACCACAGACTTAAGAGCCAAACCAACAATATATTCCTTTCCCATAGACAGCACTCTGCTGCCTGTGCATACAGCTGATTATCAGTTAACAGTAAGAGAGAACAAAAGTCAGACATTTCAACAACAATGAGACAATATGATGACAATAGTAAAAAGCCAAGAACACCGCAGCGGGTTTCACAAACATCATTAAGCCATAGTATAGCCCAAATTAAATAACCTGCCACTGCTTATAGAAACACCAGCAGAATAAAACATCACCCGGGCAGGAACAACAGACAGATACAAACAAACTCCACAGCGGCTGCATTCACTCACACACACACACACACACACACACACACACACACACACACAGGCCTACAGCAAAAAGAGAGCTGCAAAGTTTTTTTGCACAGTGTAGTTTGCACACGCGGACGCACGCGCACACGGCGCTTCGTTGCTTGGCAATATTTACCTCTGGAGAGTTACAACATTCACAGCGAGTTTGTTGTTGTACTCACCTGTTTGAACGGCTTTGCGTGAGTCTTGTGCACCGTCAAGTCCTCCACAATGTGCTCCAGGTTCAGCTTCTGTATTCATTCATTCTCATAGCACAGTAGCTATAACCAGTCCACTCAGCCTCTCTGTCCCACGAGCTCCTCAAAGTTTTTACACAGTTTGAGCTAAGTGGGCTAAGGCTCACAGAGAACCTGAAGCTGCTGCTGGAGGATCCATTAGCACTTAGCCTGTTAGCTTGATCCAGGAGGCACCTGTCCTACAGGCAAAAACTAGGGTGTGTTTGATTTCAGTCACTTAGCGTGCTGGAGGGGTGGAGCATTAAAGCAGTGATTAATTAAAGGAATAGTTCACTACAAAACAAAAACAATTGTATAGTACTCATCTCCTGGTCCCAGAAAAAGTCCTCTAATGAAAGGCATTTAGAAGAGTGGAGCACCCAAAAAATGAAAGCACATGGGCTCATTTATACTCTGTTTATGTATGAAAATAGATAAGTCCGATTCAAACATTTTAAACATCACTGCCCTCATACTTCCATGCATGCTTTTTGATGGCATTGACATCCACAAGAGGGCACTATTAGGCAGAGTCAAATGTTTCTGACAACAATCAGGCGATGGTGGAGGAGGTTGTAAATGTACCTTTAAGCCCAGGTCAGATCATAGACTCGCAACGAGATGAGGTAACTACTTGCAATGTGCCATTCCACAACCTGCCAGTTCACAGCTATGAAACTAATCAGATGAGATGGTGTATCATCTCTATGCAACAGCTGTCTGTACCTCAGCTGTCTGTACCTCTGTATGTAGGGGGCGGCATAAGCACAGCAAGCAGCAGCAGCGACCCACGACCCCACCGTTCAACATTTTGACTTGACCAGCGGACTTCACTACAAGCGGATTGGCTGTAGAAACAGGTGATGTGCTTTACGTGTTAAAACCAGCTGCTGGCAATTGGACCAGCTGAGTCCAGCTCAGACCGGCCAGTTCTGAAACGTTCTGCAACGTTTTGAAGCGCTTTCGTCTCATCACAAATATTTGGTCTGAACTGGGCTTTAAAGGAGACGGCACTGTAGACTGTGTGGCCTGAGAGGACATTAAACATCTATTGCATTTGGAAGAATTCTTTTCACTATGTTGCAGATTTGTTCTTCTGTTCCACCATTTTTTTAATGTCTTCCTCATGATTAATGGTCTTATCTCGATTGAATTATACTACACTGCCCCCACGATTTCTGGTAGTACTGCCCCATTTCCTCCATAACCGTAAGCTTTAAGGCAAAGTGCACAAATATGGACAAAATGAATACAGAGTACGGAGACAAGGCTCCGTCCGTCTCAATTTATGTATCTAACATTGAGCATGAATGAGCCATAAGAGTGCAAACAGATTTCACTGGAGGTCAAACAAAAGACAGCAAAAAATCTTATAATATGTTTTAAAAAACCTTGAAAATTCCTGTGCATCATTATCAGTCTCTTTTTTTCTTTTCGTAGGCTCATGGAAATCCAACTACGGTTGTATTTCCACTACTGTATTGCTAATCAAATAATTTCCTGTGAAGGAAGTTGTGCACACAGGATGATAATCCAGAGATGATCAATAGTTTAGCAAAAATTGTTGCATTTGACAAAATACTTCTGGTACCATAAAGAGCCTAAGGAGGCAAGTCCAATATAAAATCTATTTTGTTTTTGGGTGAACTAGTCCTTTTGACAGTGTGCCCAAATGAATTACATGTTAAGTCAATGTAAAGACGTAATTAGAGGCAAAGTCCCACTGGGCAGCTCAATGGATGCGATGGACGTGCCAAGAATTACGCAGGTAGCGCAATGTCGCATCATACGCTCTTTCGCGAGGGTTAAAAAATCTGAATGTCAGAGACCAATTCGCGCTGCGAAAGTCAATCAGCATTGAGATCCTCAGGGACGTATGACGTTGAGAACATAGCGGTGGAAGTTCATGTGTATGACTCCAGTTATTTGCGTGTATGATGCAAGTCAACACAAATTATTGTAGCATTCAAACTTGTGCAAGTAACGATGCAAAAATTCACATCAGGTTTGGTGTGAACACAACATTAAGGTAGATGCTACTTCTTTTTTAATCCATGCCGAGGTACAGTAATGATAACCTTGACCCATAATGACCTGATACTTCATTGTTGTAGGCGATTGTTCACAAACTGCTACGCCAAGCCCAGTTAATACTGCATCCCCCACACCCTCTGACAGTCAGCGTTAACATTCAACATGTATCTGTCACAGAGTGTCAGCAGAGTGCAGAGTGTCACCTCTCTGGAGCTGCACTCCTGAGCTCTGTCCTCACACCAACAGCTCCAGACAGACACCAGCCGCTTCTTCTCTGCTGCAGCTGCTGATTTATATCCTTTATTTTGTTCCATCCTCACACAGTTTATCAGGACTTTTTATGTGACTTTTGTTTTTACTCTGTTCAGGATGCCACTTGAAATGTAGCAAAGTACAATATTTGAGATGAAGAATACTTAAAGTGGAGAAAGACTTTTTTTTTTGCTTTAACAATATCATTATGAAGTTAATGTTGATTGCACAAACTAATGACTATAGCATAATGGCACCATCTGCGTTTAAACTGATTCCCATCAGCTTCGCTTTCATTATACAATTCTGTCTGCTGTTGGGTAGGCTACAATCTCCTGGGAAAATGAAGGCTCAATTTACAACACAAAGGAAGTGCGTCAGCCAATGCACAACCAAAACAGGAAGAGGATAACACGTTTATTTCCCCTAGTAGCTATCAGTAGCTATCCCAAGTTACTAAAGAGTGTCAATGTAAAGCCCAGTGCAGACCAAAGATTTACGATGAGACAAAACCGTTTTAGAACCGCTTATATTATTGTGGCGTATTTATTATGAATACAGTCCATCTGATGCTCGTTTTGTTCATGGTTTTCGCCATGTCATCACTACTGCAAATGCAGCTGTAGCCAGTATCTCACTATCACTATCCTCATTCATATTTTAAGAAGCTACACATAATATTCAGCCACAAAATAAGCCTAAAGAAGTAGTAAATCAGAACGGAAGTACAGAGAGTTGTTGCATAGGGATGATACACCATCTCATCTAGTTGCACTGGTGTGAACCGGCAACTCATCTGAACTGGGCTGAAATTCTCAGTTACTATCTCTAGTAGCGGAAATTGTAGACAGTGGAACAATAGGTTTGTGTGTGTGAATGCTTTTTCCTTCATTTTAATAAGCTTAGCTAACAAGCTGCCGCCCTCAGCTTCATATTGAACAGACAGATATGAGCGTGGAATCAATCTTATCATCTAACTTTTGGCAAGAGAACAAATAAGTGTAATATAAATCTCCAACTATTGCTTTACATTTTGGTGGGAATGATGAACGGATGAACTAGTTAATACATTTTGACACCAATCCAATGTCTCATGAAGATCCTACTTGAAGTTGAAATAATAAGTGAATAAGAATCAAAGCTTGGAGACATAACTTTATCAGCGGTGGATTTCAATATTTTCCACAACAACATATTATTTATTATGTTGTGCAACAAAATAATCAACTATTTGGTCTCCAGACCTGTCCTGTAATGATATGACCAAATCACTTCTGGGTCCACAAGACTAATAGTCATCAAGATACCGAACGCACTATATGTGAATGTCCTTGACGCTTTACTGAAATCTTTACATCCTTTTACTACAATGTGTCAGATCACAATTGAGCGAGTGCATTTCATCATATATATCACATTGTTCATTTCAGTCAGGTGATTTAAACTGTTAAATACTGAAGTCTTTGACAGAAAGTTGAGCACAAAAGTCTCAACAGCCAAGAGGGCTACAGTGTTCCAACAACAGTCAAAGCTCCTCAGCTCCTGCATTTCAATTTGGTGCGGCACCTGGGCGGTGCGCTGTCAGCAGGATCTGTGTTCCAGTTGGGTGACTGAGCCTTCCTGGTATCGAAACATGATGACAGTGAAGGCAAGTCTCACACCAGCCAATGGAGTCATCAATAATAAGACAAGGTGAGCAGGAAGGGAGGCGGGGGTGGGGGGGGTTATCTGGGTACAGCACATGCACTCCCCGGTGGGCCGCAGGGGCAGACAGGGCCGCAGAGAGGCAAGATATGGCGTGACGCTCCTGGAATCTGTGATTTGACATCTGCACCGTGTGAGAGTCTGTCAGAGGGCAGGAGAAGGTTTTTGAGGGCACCGCCGCTTCCTCTTTAGTCCGAGTCTCTGGGTTTTATCAAAGAGATCTGACTTGTGGGGCAAAGAGAGTGGCTGAGCAGCATGGTGCTCGCTGGAGGTGGTCGGCTTTGAATGGACGCTGCTAAGACGTTAGTCCTCCCGCAAAGTCAGTCCTCCTCTTCTACATAGGTGGAGGGGAACCAGCCCATCTGAGAAGCAAGAAAGCAGGATAAAATTCAGGCAGCAGCACATGTATTTGACAGGATATGTTTTATGCATCAGTATCTTAAATAAACCCTCAAAAAGACTTCTTAATTTTTTTTACTCCCTTAAAGCTCTGAGTGGGCAGAACGGACATCAGAACATTATGCCACAATACCATATTCAAGACAGAACCACCCAGTCAGTCAGATAGTGTACAGTGTATTAATACTGTAGGGATATGTAAGACAGATGTATAAAGACATTGTACATTAGCTACCACTGTATATGATAAGAGCACAGATGGCACAAAAGCACCTACCCTGCCGTCAACCTCTCCCCTCCACCATCCATTGGACATCTTGGTATAGATCTTGATAATGTCTCCCTGCAGCAGGGAGAGCTCCCGTGTGTCTCTCGAGCAGAAGTCATAGCGTGCCACTGCAATACCCACCACCCTGGGAGAAAACACTGAGACAGAGAGATCTTGCCTTAGTATTGAGAGAAATCTCGTATTTAAGTTCTTAGAGCAGCTATTGGACCACAAATGGACAAGAGCTATATTATGTCTGACGCCGCTCTCTCCCCTCTTTGGTCCACCAATAACAAACGCACTCACTAAATCAGAGAGTCACGCTCCATACAACAATTTAATCAGAATCCAATCTAAAAGTATGGCTTCTAGATGCTCCTCTGGGTAGTTCAACCTAACTATATTTTTTTTAAACTTTAATTCTCCCTTACTTTGAAGTGCACATTCTTATCTGTAGCACACTGCCATTCAGTGTTTGGAGAACTTCTCACCTGTGTCAGGCTCTTGAAGCTACTTTCTCCAATCCATTCTGAAATCCTAGGCTTTTGAAAAGGTGCTCTCTTAACCTTTACTCTTGTAACCTTGGAAGAATTCTAATAGCCAGGATGCTTGGTGACTAACTTTTATACCTCAAACTGATCTTATTGTTAAATCCTCATAAAACTTTGATGAGAAAATGTTAAATCAAATAACTACTTTCACTGCAAGGACAATCACAGCTCAGCTCAACAAATTCAGTCTTTACCTTTAGTAATAGTGGTATGTTGTGATTATATTCCATTTACAATGGTATGAAACAGATTTTCTGACAGGTATTATCCACAGTGAAATTACTATGACTGTCTTGCCATGATGATAAGGCAGCAAAGAGCCCTCATTCTTGTGCCTGAGTCATACTAAATGTCACAGCACCACAGAGTCACAGATGAGGGAGTAAACCATGCTTGCTGGTGAGCAAGGGGAAATACATAGCGCTGCCCAGCTCTGCGGTGCCGAACGCACAGTAGAGATGACAGGTCATGGGTTATCATGGTCATGTGTTGATCTCATTAAAAGTTAATGTTCAACGTGGAAACTTATCAGGTTATACAAGGTTATTCCTACGTATGCAGCTGCCTGGGTTTGTTTACCTTATCTGTGGAAATACAGGTGACACACATACAGGTGAAAGATGAAAGGAATACATCTATTCCTTCAGGCACACATGAGAACATCATGCCAACACAGAAGCCAGAAGCCCAAGCCCACACCTACATGCATGCATGCATGTAGCATATATAAGCAGCGTATACCATAATGCATGTAGCATATATATGCTTATGTACAAAAAAGACAGACACAAATAAAGAAATATTAATAGACTATTATGCTGTATATATTAATGCCGTGATGGCAGGAGGGGAAAAAATTGAAATACATCCTGCTATTCTGACTTGGGAGCATTTACTCATTATTCCATGATGGTTACCACAAGTAGTCACACCTAAAAATGAATATTACGTGAATTACCTTATTTTATTGTGTTTCATATTTGTTGCAGCTCATTAACAAGTGAAAATATACAGACAAAAGTGTATTTTATTGTCGTCTGTTTATTCATTTGAAATTACTGTCTACCAAAAATCTATATTACCTATACTTTTTTATTTCATATATATGTCTGTTAAATTCTATCCCTATATTTTAACTTGCACTTACAGGTTACCTATCTTAAGTCTTATCTTCTCATTTTGCTTTTATTTGTGTGATTTCATTTTTATTAGGGCTGTCGAAATAACGCATTAATTTCGATTAATTAATCAAAGAATAAATAATGCATTAAAAAAAATTATGTTGATTAATCACATTAATTGGTGCCCTTAGACACGGTGGGTCATCACATGGTGGAGGCAGACGAAATGACATTGTTTGGCCCCAAAAATGGAGCATTTACATTTAAGAAACACCCAGATGGAACTGCTGATAGGAGCACCATCCTCTGCAGCTTCTGCAGTAAGGAATCTTCGTACCATTGGAGTACTAAAGGCCTGAAATATCACCTCAACGCAAAGCATTAAGCAGCGAACCCAGAGGTCTGAGCTACCACAGCCTCTGATGCTAGCGCTAGTAGTTAGACTCATCAAGTCAAACTCAACCAGGCGTTCAGATGCAAACTGAGTAAGTCTACATGTGACTGACAAACTCCCCTGCAAAATGGATTGCAATACACTGCAGACCAGTTTCCGTGGGAGAGGACAGGGGGACAATTGTGTCCAAAATCCAGCAGCTTTACTACACACACACATCTGCCAAAATTCAATTGAAATGGATTTTTTAAAAAACTTTCACAGCAAAAGTTGATGAATGTGATTAATTAAGATTAATTAATCACAGAGTATGTCATTAATTCAATTTTTTTTAATCACTTGACAGCCCTATTGTTTATACATGTTTAATTAGTGAAGAGCCTCAGACCAAAGATTGTCAATGCTAACAACTGCGCTTGTAATTGTTGTGCATTAGATAAATAAATACCTTGAGCTTGAACTTGTATGTCTCCTTTTAATTAGCTGAACTGATAATGTTAGTAAAATGTAAATGCCAGAAATGATGGCTTTGCAGCTCTTTGTCACTGGTTTGTTGACAATTCTGCAGTTATTTTCACCTAGTGGGAGATATCAGAGCTGTCAGAAATGGAATTACAGGAGACTGACGTGAATGTTTTTTCCCCACATGACAACTCGGTGCGATCTGTGCAATATGACGTAAAAGCGGCATCATTAGACTACATTATTTAACAGAGACAGGGAAAACAAGACAGTTTTGTCTTTGGAAACCTGGAAATGTGGGCATACAGCAAGGGAGAGACAAAGAGAGTAAAAAAGCTGTACCTGTACCTGACCAGAAAGGCGAGGATGAGGGAGGAACAAAGCTGCAGCCGCCAAGAGGAACTACAGAGAAACGGAGCGAGTGATGGGAAGGGGGGGTTCAGGCCGTAGAGGGAGCAAAGACAGAAGATAAGCAAAGTAAACACAAGTTTGACAGAAAGAGAGTATGAGAGAGGGTAAAGGAGAGAGAGAGAGTGAGGGAAAAGTTGGCAAAGTCACAGAACAAGCAGAGAAGAGTGAGAGGAGGGCAAAAACAGTGAAAGCATCAGAAAATCTGTCATTTCACCTGGCACATGATTTTTGTATAATACTGACCAATAGAAAGTGGGTATTGAGTTTTTAACATATTAACTTACTTATGAATGTGTCCAAAAGTATATGGACATGCCCACTTTGGTAAGGTGAGTCTTAATGCTACATCATGCAATGATATCTCGGACAACAGTGCTTCCAACTTTCTGGTAACAGTTTACAGTTTTCCCAAGTTCAGGTGTGGAAAAACTTACTGCACAGAGCCCTGACCTCAGGCCAATCCAACACCTTTTAGATGATTTGAAACACAGTGACGTATATACTCCCAACCTTGCATTCAAGAAAACACAGCCTGCTGATTCCTTTAAATGAGGCCAGTCCAGCAGTGGGGTTACAAACGCAGAGTGCTTTGGTAAAAAAAAGACAGGGTCCGCCAACAGAAAAAAGCTTAACTAGGCTCAACTTTTGTCACAGTGAAACAGGATGATACCCGGCAAGGCTCTGTGGTGGCCAATCAAATGTGAATAGTGTATTTCTGCTGTTTGCCTCGCCATTATTGCCACCGTGATAACTTCTCAGAGTTGTAAAATCCTGTCCCATAAACCATAAACGTCTGTGCAGTGTTACGGCTTCTGATGAGCCTTCAAACTCATCAGTCTTTTACGATCTGTTACTGTCCTGGATCGTATTCTTTGAAATCATCCCACTGGTACCAGAGGCAACATGCCCCAACCAAGGCAGCCTCTTTGTGTTAATTGACACATGGCTGTTTTTTGGTCTTAACACCCACTTATCGCCTGACAGCAGCAGCTGACCTCACTGATGCTTTTGTGGCTGAATGGTAGAAAATCCCTGCAGCCAGGTTTCAAAATCTTGTGCAGAGCCTTCCTGGAAGAGTTGAGGATGTTGTAGCAGCGTAAAGACGCCTGTGGTTTTTGAAGATCAGTTGTTCAGCTCTCTACATACCTTTGGCTATGTAGTGTAGCATCTATAATCTTCCCCAGGTCATACTGCATAACACAGCAATAACAACCTTTTGAGTTTCAGACCGGGCACGCCGAAGCAGCAGTATGGGGGTAGGTATACGTCTGGGCACAGCACGGCGCCCTGACAAGGCGATCCATGCCGCAGAGCCGACAACTTCTGCTCCGGTATGAAATCCCATCTGAGCCAGCAGACCCTCACACTGAGAAAACCACCTGCTGTCGTCACAACAATATGGTTCCATGCCTTCTTCCGCTTCCCCACAAGGATAAGTAAATGCAGGGCCAATATGTGTCAACTGTTTGTCTGACCAGAGTGCACACAACCCACACTACCACACGACTATGCACAGACCTGCAGGAAATATATACAGTATAAACAAACACAGGCTGTATGTGTAGATACAGAAATAAACTTGTACTGCACATACAGCCATAAACAGCACGAGCATTTTATACTTGAAGCTGTTTCATTTTAGTATGATCAAACTAAATATCCTATAATATTTTCACTATTTCTCTTAGAAATTCTTATTTCATTTTGAGATTATGCAAATTATTCACTCAGGTGCAATCCCTTGCCCCTATACTTAGCCTTAACCCTTCATTTTGCATGTTCATGTCTAGAGGTAGGGTGTCCCAATTCTTGTTGGGATAGAGGGGTAGGGCAAAGTGTAAGGACTACATGGCCCTCAAAATGAATGTTTTTCAGAGGCACCTCCACCTGGAAATCATCGATCATGGCTGCACAAGCAACAAAAGAAACCCACAAATGCATTTAATTTGTTAATAAAGATTTAAAAATTACGATAACCATCGTATTATCTGTGTTGTTTCAGTTGATTATGGTCATTTTCTTTATAGTATGCTGTTGTCTCAGGAGCTAACTAGCAAGCTAGCTAAAATTACATTGTTATTACTGATTTGTGCATAACAGTTGCACATTTTGACATATTTCCATGTCCCCCCCCCCCCCCCTTTGATTGCATTTGACGCATTAAATTTAACTTAAGTTCAGCAGCAAAGTTGCTGCACTTGTTAAGGCTCCTCTAATATCATTGCAGACCATAGACCATGTAAACAATGGAGGTAGCTACCGTGACATCACCCACTGGTTTATGGACTGCCATTTTGAAGCCTTGAGTTCAGCAACGCATTGCTGTTCAAGCTTTGGATGAGCAAGGGGGTCTGACTCATAGATTGTGGTGACACCTCATGGACAGCCTGTCAGTCAAGCCAACACATTCTTACTCAGACCTTGTCACATATCAACACTTGGTCATGGACTTTCCACGTCCACATATGACATACAAGGTACCCTAGGTGGGTTGGTTGTCAAAATACTCTTTTGTTTTTCACATGTCATTTACATACATTTAAAAACAAAAGTCAATTTGCAGTGTTGTACCAAAGCACTATGTTGGTACAACACCGCAAATTGACTTTTGTTTTTCCTTCAACAACACATGCATGTAGTTGGCTTTAGGCAACAAAAGCACGTGGTTAGGTTTAGGAAAAAAAGAACAGGGTTTGGCTTTATAATCTTACGGGACGCAAACACCGCTATCCTGGGTGAAAGTCAATGTTTCTTGGACCCATCCAACACTCCTCCTGCCCACCCTACTTGGAGTTTCGTCACCTTAACTTTTGCTCTTGTCCTGCCGCGTTTCCTGCTGACACCGCCGTGCGACTGGCTGAGTATCATGCCGATGTCACTACCCAAGTGTTGCATTTCGACGGCTTTGGAGTGAGACCGAGTTGGTCAAGCACTTTAACTTTAAGCCTTAATGAAATGTAAACAGGTGAGTTATGAAAAAAATTTGCCCCTTATACAGTTGTCATGAATGTTGAAATTAGCTAAAGAGACCAAAACTGCTCGTTACCAAACTGTAAACGTGTTTGTTTCTGCTGTAAAGTTGGACATTTTAACGTGGGCCTCTATGGGGACTGACTTGTTTTGGAGTCAGCCTCAAGTGGCCATTAGAGGAACTGCAGTTTGTGGCACTTCTGCGTTGACTTCCTTTTTAAACTCTGGAGGTTGCAGCTTGGTACAGACTGGCAGGGTATGTGGGAGCACAGATTGCTAACGCCTACAGAGCACTGTCTGTGCTTTTCTATTTCCATCAGCTAAATAGCAAGTGTTGTTGTGATGTTGTCATTATTGCCATAGTCTTGTCTGTTAACGTAAACGCCATTGATGACTACTGATGACCTTTCAGGGTCTTGAAGAGTTGTTCCATTTCACAGGGGAAGATTTCAACCACTGTCCCTTGTAACTCTGTTCCGAGGGGCAAAGTGGCACTCAAACACGGGTTATGAGTAAAAATGAGAAATGGGATTGGGCCTTATCATCATTAATTTAAGATATCAGAACTGCATATCCTGATAACACTGGTAGTTAACTAAGAAAATGATTTTAAATTATTTCCCATCCTTAACATTCATGCACATACACAGACAAAAAGCACACAGTCAGACTTAATTAAAGATGCTGGCTGGGGTTTCTCCAAACAAATTACTCCAGAGTTTTGATGGTTTTTCAATAGTTGTGCATCTTGTGATTGTTTGCTCAGTCTTGCATTCTGTTTTCTTTGCTATGAGGTGTCTGTTTTGAGATTCAAACCATTTTGTGTGAGTGTGTGTGTGTTTTTTGTTTTGGCATGACATCTGTCTTTCCATGGAGGCTGTTTACCAGACAGAGAACACGGTGCCCACACTAAGTCTGTCTATGGGGGTGGACGACTTAAGGCAATAATAATCTATCCCAGAATGCACTGAGGCAACGGCGGGTCTGTCAAGGCTTCCTCACAGAAGGAAGAGCGGTGAATGGCAGCGATGCACAAACACACCTCTTGCAGAGCTGCTTTGAAGCGTGATGCGCTGGGAGACCGACGCTGCCAAAGGAGGCAGAGGGACAAGGATGTAGCAGAATTTTACATCCGAACAGACACAAAGGGCTAACTTTGACTTTGTTCCAGCGTTCGTTTTTCCTTGCCTCTGCTGCTGCTGTTGCGGCAGCTGTGGTTGTTTACACGTACACCTCTCTTTAAGTTGAGACAGTTTACCTCCAGCTGCTTTCTGCTCTTTTACATCTGATCATATTTGCAAACTTTTCCCAGTTTTGTGGAAACAGGCGCAGTCCCTCAGTTGGACCAGGGGTATCCCCCAGGTGTGTGTCAGCAGGCGGCTGTCACACAGTTTTCTCTGCTGCCAGCCCAAGTGAAATGTCATGTCCTGTCAGGAAAATTGTGAAGCCATCTCAGAGCTGAGCAGCGTGCGGAGTGTGACGTTTGAGGTAGCAGGCTCCTGGTGCTTGCCTGGGGCATTAGGCCCTAACTGGGACCTCTCCGCCGAGCCTGGTGAGCTGCCGAGGCTCCTTTCTATTTCTTTCACTCACTGTCTCTCTCACTACTTCCTTTGTCTTTTGCTCTTCCTCTATCTCTCCCACCCCACGCCTTCCCTTTGTACTCTGTGTCTCCTTTTTACCCCATTCACACTCACTATAAGGATATCTTATCTGGGTTAGAAACAATAATAATTCTAGGCACATATGCATGTGGAATACATTGCAATCTGAATAGGATTGCATCAGCTGGTGGTCTGGCTTGAACTGAATTTCTCTGAATGTAATGTTTACAATTTGATCACATTTTCAAAGGAATGGCTCAACATTTTAAGAAAATTTCTGATTTGCTTTCTTGCCAAGACTGATTGATACCACTCTCATGTCTGTATGCTTAGTCTAAAGCTAGAGCCAGGACGTGCTGAAGGATGAAAGACATGGGTTAGACACACGCAGGACCATTTTTCTGGCCAGGAGTGGAAATCCCCTGAAGTCTCTAGACCTGGCCAAATTATTCAGAACACAACAGCACTTTAAACCACACATTGACCCTTTGGTTTTGGATTAAATAAATGAGATGTAACATGTTAATTAGTGAGCTCTGGAGGTGCAGAACCAGGCTGGCTATATCCATATTGTTTAGTCTTTTCACTGAGCTGAGATAGCATAATTAGCTCGATATTTACTGCACAGACAGAGAGTGGTATCAAATTTCACATCTAACTCTTGTTTAGTTGAAAGATTTAACTCCACTCCAAAGAGCTACAGATTCCTCTTTCCTATATAGGCTCTGTGTCCTTTCATTTTACCTCACTTTACTTTCCTTCTCTGTACTCTCTCCCAGCCTCCTATTTATCTCATTGTTTCCCTTTCTTACATCAATGTCTGTCTCACCGTCCCATTTTTCTCCCTCCCTCTCGCCTGCCTTCTCTTCCGACACCCTTTTTGCCATTTCCACCTCTTCCTGCTCTCCCTACTCTCCATCTTTCGCTCTCTTCCTCTCTTCCCCATCTCCTGTCCATTTCATTCTATCCACAACATGCTTCGCCTCTCCCACTCGCACTCTCCATTCCTGACCTGTCTCTTTCTCAATTCTCCTTCTTCCTCAAGACCTTTCTCCTCCACATGCCTCCTCAGAGTGAATGAGGATCTAATTCTGTCACCAAGGGCCAGTAATGACGCAGTGGCTGGACTTGTTGAACTTAAGCACAAGATTGCGTTTACCCATGCCTCTTAATGCTGACTGCTTGAAATCAAAGATGCTTCCATATTTCTTATAGCCAAGATTTACCACACAGTTATGGTATATTAGTAATACGACACTGAGCACATGTTTCATTGTGACCATAAGAAAGCTTCTCTTACTTGAGTCAAACAGTATTTCTATACAATGTTAGTTTGACCCAGATGCACAAGGTCTACCACATAACATGCACAACATCTGTTAGATAACCTAAAATAATTTCCTGTTTTATTAAGTGACTTTTGTGGGGGGAAAAAATTAGTTTTCATGTTCTGTTCAATTGCATATTCAGCAAAAATCCATCTCTACTGAATCAACACCATTCCTGTTTCCACATCTATTTATATGATAATTTATTTCATTATTTTCATTTTACTTACTCATTTAAGAAAAAAAAAGATTTAAAGATGAAAATTGAAACCGTAACATTTAAATTCATGACAACTGGGCAAAAGGCTGACTCTACATTAACAGTAACGCATCGTTTAATGGTTCAACATCTTTAATTTATCATATTATTTAGCATGAATAAATAGAAGCATGATAGCTTACAATCAGTGACTATGTTAACATGCACAATTATTCCGGGTTGTGCCAAACCTAATTCCAAAAAAGACAATTCCCTACTAGGTTGTTCGCGTAGCTAATGAACACAGATATTCCACTAATATTCCTGTTAACATACAGCCGTGCATGTGTTGATTCACGTGCCCAAAACATGAAATTTTTTTTTTAAAGCTTTAAAGTGGTGGCGATCTTGTTCAACCATGTGAACACAGCCATCCTCTTCCATTCCTTCAGCATTCTTCTTGAAAAGGTCAGCTAGCGATATTTGCACAACAAAATACAAACAAAAAAACTGTTGATATCAAAGTCTCTTATAATTAAAATTAGTTTAAAAGTAGGTGTGTTTGGCAATCTGACCGGTAATGTGGGCTTTTCCTAGGGGCATGCATCTCTACCCCAGCCTTGCAAACTATTGGCAAGTTGGTTTGTATACAACGTCTCCATGACAACACACAGAGCTGACCGAAAACAGGGAAAAGGCTGGGCATCGTAAACTGTGATAAAAAAACAACAACTGAGATGCACATTCCAAAAGCACGGTATATATACAGGTCCAAAAAATGTTCCTAATACACAAATAATACCAGCATATCCCACATGTCTTAATCAGAAAAAGCTCCATTTGGATATAAGACCTAATTCAGAGTATCCAGATTGAATATGCTGTTTACATGATTAAAGTCAGAATATTATCACATTTGAAATAATAGTTTGGTACCTGGGAAAAAAATTAAAACTGGATAATAGGATGTTAAATTTTTATGTTATAATGTGACCTCACTTAACTAAATTACATGAAGCACAACCTGCTGGTTAGAGACAAAAATAGGAAACATTTCATATCCACACCCCATCTGACTAAGCTCTAGATCCCATGTCATAAAGAGATAAGGTCGTGTGTATGTGGTCAAATCTAAATGATGTAATACATGTGTTAAAATGTTGTGTTGTGACTTCATTGTGATGATGCAGAAGAAGATCAACCAGGCACACCTCCCAAGGAACACAGCTGCTGTCTCTCACCCAACACTTTTCCGCAGGGAATTTTGTTAGCTCATTATGCTGTGCTAAATATTTCTAGCATGTCTTGCACGTCAAAGATAGTACTGCCTCTGGTATTAGGACACACTTTTAACTTGAGTGTCGAATAGCCAAGCAAATGCTCTGTCACCATGACTTTGTAATGTAAGGTGGGATGTTTTTGTACAGCTCTTTGAGGTGAGAACATACAGTACATTAGCTGGTCTGTAGTAACAAAATCTATCAGGTGAGAGACCGAATTCAGCAAACTGTTCTGACCCTCAGTTCTGTTGTTTGTATTTGAGACACGGGAAATATGAGCTTTCATTGACTATTGTGGACATACATAGAGCCTTTACAAGCAGGTAGACTTCCCAGGGAAACACAACACACCTTACTTTATCTGAACTGAACTATTGTAAGAAAACGTACCCCTCCGGTACTCCAACAGGTCAAAACAAATGCTAAGAATTACTTTCAACTGTAACCAGATCAAGATCTGATCTGAACTGGTAGCATTTCCCTCTGTCAGACAGTCTCAGGGAGGGAGAGTGGGTGTTTTTGAGGCAGACTCACCACTGCCAGCCTTGGTAATGGCCTTGGGCATGTTTCCATTGGACAGTTCCCTATAGGGAAACTGCAGAGTGGTGTCAAGACTGCTGAAACCCTCCTTCAGAGAATGCTGCTTGTAGTACTCAACCAAGTCCTGTGTAAAACAAGCACAATAAAACAAAACACAGCCTTAACAACGATTATCCAGGGTGAATCTAGCTGGTATTTTGTACAAACGTATAGAAATGAAAGAAAAGACATGTGAGGATGTTGGTTGGGGGGAAGCTGCTTGTTTGATCTTGATAAGACAACAGCAGCCAGTACTGAGGAGGTGTTCTGAGCAGGGCAGCTAACCGCAATATATCTTTCCATCTCCCCATTTCAAGCACAGAACTGGAAACATGCTAATATTAGCGACTGAGATACAATACCACAGGCAGTTGCTTACAACATGCTCTTGTAGCTTTGTGGGTGCATACACAAACGTAGAAATAAACCACTAGTCGACATATTTTATCACTGTACAACAACAGTAAACCTCTCAATTGCATGCTGGGGTTTATCTCTAGGGAGTGCTGCAAAAGCAGTGTAATGTCAAAATGATTATACTCATTGATGCTACAGTATTTTATAGAGCACAAAAATCTTTAAAAATAAAAATATAAAATACAAAAATCCATCCTTTACCAGCACAGTCTTGAACAGCCGGCTCTCAGCGATGTAAAAGCAGCCATTCTTGGTCAGAATCTTAATGTGCTTGACTTTATCGTTGAACCTGTGGAGGATGAATAAGACATGGGCTGCTAATCAACTATACATGCTTCCACATCACTCCAGTCTCTATGGTGAACCATCACGAAGGTCCGTCTATGCTGACTGTCGGTTACCACACTGAGCTGAGCCAAGCAACTTTGTCTGACAAGAACACCTCTGGTTTTCCCTGCAGTGGAAATCAGGTTCAATTCACTCACATCAGTTAATAATAGAAGCATCACAGGATTACACAGTCTTACTCTGTAGGATGAATTCATACTGTGTATACCAGTGTCTGCTAAGGACCCTTCATCACAGGAAGAGTAATACCTGAAGTTTTGAAGCAGTTATACCAAACAGTGGTTTTTCCTTTTTCAGTTGTTTCATATGGAATATTTTAGCAGCATTAAGAGCAAAAAGGATCAAGTAATTAACAACACAAATACAAGTGAAAAGTAGTTCTTATTTGTTTATGCCTGTTATACTGTCTGGACCAAGACAACCTTTGTAGAATCTGCATGGATAATATATTATTTATATTATTTTTTTTTATTTGTGGTAACAACCTATTCAGCTTTGGAATAAAGCACCTTAAAGCAAAACTATCAAACTATTTAAAAAAGAGTCTCCAACAAAAGAAAAGTAGTCCCAAAAATTAAGTTTAAATAGTTTAAATAAAATAACTCAATTTATGAGTTAAATCAGAGTTTTGTGGTTTTATTCCGAACATTTGAGCAGTGTGGACAAACAGTAGTGATAGGCTGATGTACAATAGGTGTGGCTGAGTACTTACCACAGCACTGTTAGACAAACCCACTTTTATACACCAAATCACGATGCTTGTTTACAATCATTTCTGGGTAAAAAACTCTTGTGTCATGTTCATAAAATGAAACGCCGCTGAGCATGCTGCCTCCATTGGTTAGTTTTTCACCTAAAAAAGACCCAACTAAAGTTTTAGCGTACACTATATTTAGTATATCTTCCCCGCTTTACCTTACTGTCAGACAGCCATTTCCAAAGTGCAGCTGAAGCCATTATCTCAAAGCCTCCAGATTCAATTGACAAAAACAGTCATTTTACTTTGCAGAACACTGGAGTTGCTGGTCTACCACTGCCTCCATCGGATAATGTGTAAGGTAAAGCCGTGAAAATATTCCAAATATAGCGTACACCTAAACTAATACTGATTGTTCTGGGTGCTAAAATATGTTTTGCTGTGGCCTCCATCCATAGCCGTACATTGTTAAGCTTCTGTGCTGGTAGATTTGGTTCGTCAAAGACAGTAGCAAAGCATTATATTTAATGCTTTGCATGGCAGAAATGTGAGATAGGTTGAATCGCCATTTTTAATGATATATCTTTAAACATTATGGCTAACTTAAATTAATTCAGTTTGCCCGGAAATAACTGTTGTCATAGTGTGATGTCACAGTCATTCAGTCGATAGCACCATAAGCTATGTGCTAAACCCCAAAGTATGTACTTTCTGCTACAGAATGCTCATTTTTCAGTAACAGGAAATGACACAAAAGCTGCTCCAACAGACAACAACAATGCTAAATGTTTTAATTCATTGCCTTTTTGTTTTGTTTTGTTTATCTGTGATGTTTCTGGAGCTGTCACCACCAATATAATGGGCCATTTTTTCAAAGCAAACATTTTGACTAATGGCAGGAAAAGCACAGAAGTAATAAATAACATTGAATAAAGCTTTGTTACATTTAAGTATCATTAAGCCTAAATTGGTAAGTCAGCATACATCTAAATCTAGCAAAGCTAAATGGAGTGCCGCCCTTATTGTTATTCTAAATGTATAACTGTAAAACATAACATACAGTACCTGAGAGGGTATGCTATAGGCCTGATTAAATAAATAAGTGATACAGGCTACAGTAACTACTTTGTGAAACAGTGATGCTGTTCAACCTTGAAAATACACACATACATACTGCAGGCACCAGCGGGGACGTGCTGTCAAGACAATCACAAGCACAGTGCAGTATACAGCATGTTTTCCATATAGTAATGTGCAAGTTACACTGGAGGTAGATCTACACTGTAAATCTCCTGATGCAGTGTATAACGGATGAGAAGAATATTGTATGATCATGTTGCAATTTACAGATACATTATGAATATATGGCAAGTTATATATTATTGATGTGTGTTGAGTTATATGGTGCATAAAGTAACACATAGAGACAGATGAGCCCTGTTTGGAGAGTCTTTCCTGCCTCCTATAGACTCCAAAGTCTGCACACACACATACACACACAAACATCATTCAACACACCCACACTCACAAACTGTAGTGTTTGACACTAGACAGTTCCAGTTGATTAGTAGCAGCTCTCTGTATAAAGCTCCATTATCTCAAACGGCCATCCTGATAATGATCTTAAGCAGTGAGACAGGCAATTAGGATTGGAGTGTTCAGAAACTGGCCCTGTACATCAAAGCTTTGAATGAGGGACGGTATGAGTCCACCAAACCAAATGGGCTGGAATGGTGTGTCACTGGCTAAATAGTCTTAACATCCAAACACTATTTCAGAGTGCACCCTCAATCGTTATAATCTCTTGGAGCCGTCATGCCAGGTCGGGAGGGCTCGATAGTCCTTTTTTTTTTTTTTTTTTTTTTTTTTAAAGACTGAACAAGCTTTGATGTAGCCTGAAAGATATTCGCTAGTTAAATGGCCAGTGTTGTATTTCAAAAGAGGGATACCGAGGCACTCAACTTGCAGATAAAGCAGCCATTTATTGAGGCCTAAAGGGATGGATGCTTTATCTACAATTCAAGTGCGTTGCTAGCCTTCTTTTGAAATACATTTCTAAGACTGATAGCCAAAGAGCAGCAAATAATATAATGCAAAGCTATCAGGCTCTCCTTGAACATATGTCTGAGCAGAAGAGACAGACAATGGATAGATGGTAAAATAGATCATCCAATGCCAACTCTTCCCCATGCTGCACTCAGCTGAGAGATGTGCGGACTGTGGCGACCATCAGGATAAAAATGAACTGCAACAATGTTGAGGTATGATGTAAGGTTCAGATGAACCTTGTGCCACTGACAACGGAAGGTGCATACTCACATTAGAAAAACATTTTATCAGTTACATCTAGGTATGCAGATGGTTTTGTTTTTCTTTGCTAAGGTTAAAGTATTTCTATCTTTTCTACCTGTACCTTAATTAAATTGAGGCAGAATTTAATGATGATTTAATATCACTCACTCACTATCAATGTTTTTTACAGGGACTATTTCTTGTGTGCTAAGTAGTTCCAATAAAAACTGTTCACAGCATGGTCTGGGAATTATCCAGTAACTGGAAATAAGTTTTCAAGGGCCACACTGAAAGGTGGAAGCAATGTGTGTCCATAAACAAGAACTGCTGATTCACTGTTTTCTCGTAAATGGGTTATTAAATTTGGTTTGTTTCCTCCCCTCTGACCACTTGTCTCACATACAGAGTTAGAATAATTGAAATACAAGACTCTACTGTCCCTTTACTGATATGTCCACCTCTTGAGTTTAGGTTTAACCAGCACTTTTTCTTAATTAGCAATTACAATACTGCCATGTAAAATAAAGGCGTTTTAATCTTGCATAAATCCTACAGTGTGCCATGTTTGAAGGAGACTTGTATTTATGATTTTATTGAGACCATATTCCACCCATGCAAAACAGCCCTTTACCAGATGGAATGAACCCATCTCTCTCTCTTAATGAGCGATTAGCTAACGTTATGGCAAACATAACATCCTACTTCAGGCTACATATGACTATATGGCTTTGGCAACATTGGTCAAATGCACTGCTAAGCACAATCACACTTGAATACAGACCTGTTTGTAGAGAAAAACCTTAACTAATAGGTTATATAATAACTTTGTGAGTAGCCTTCATCTGCTGAGTAGTTCTCAGACAATGTCTATAGTAAAAAAAAAAATGGCATGCAGCAGGGGGCCACAGGCTGGGGTCGAGCCTGGGCCGCTGCGGCAACAGCCTTGTACATGGGGCGCCAGCTCTACCACTAAGCCACCAACGCCCCGTCTATAGTTAACTTTAAGAATTATGTAACGTTAAGAAACAGGATTACTGCAAACCCTTGTTGTTAAACGCACAACAGTGATCCATAATCCATTAATGTTAAATGAATGCTGTATATTTAAATTTCCAAATGTAATAGGATTAGTTCAATAGATTGTTCAGTTTGTAATGTGTGCCGAACAGTTCAGAACAAACACATGTATTGTTAACCCATACTAGGGACCAATGAATATACTGTACCTAAATCTAACATCATTTTTCAACCCAGTTTCACTCTGAAGTCATCAAAATCCAGTGCTTGGGCAGTGACTTGCAGCGTCAGACACCAATGAAAGAGCTGTCCTTTAACGTCGGCCGGTCACTGTTATAGCCAGTTAAAGCGGCGAAAGTCTTAGCAGGGTGTGCTGGAGGGGTGTTGGATTGGTCCACCAAACAATGACTTTCAGCGGTGTTCATGTCCCGTAAGATTAGAAAGCCAAACCCTGTTATTTTTTCCTGAACCCAACCAAGTGCCTTTGTTGCCTAAACCCAACCACGTGCATTATTGTTGAAGGAAAAAAACATAAATTTGTGGTGTTGTACCGACGTAGTGCATTTATTTTGAAAGAGACTGTATGTAAACAGTAAATTTCCAGTGAAAATGGAAGTGTATTTTGAAAGAAGACAATGCATGTAACAGGCAGAACTTGGCACGGCATCCCAGAATATCAACAACCAACGCACCCAGGGTACCTTTCACGTCATATTTGGATGTGGAAAGTCCATGACCAAACTGTGATATGTGACGAGATCGGAGTGAGAATTTTTAGTCCACACTGATACGTAGCCACGGCAACATACTAGTTTTGCTGGGGTTTTAAGTGGAGAGCGTAGCAAAGTAAAACAATCTACGATGTTCATTTATATTGAGAAAACATGTCAATTTAGAACAGCCTTAATAATTGTGCTGTTGTTACTGCTCCTCACTAGTTCCAGCGCACCGCTTGATAATGCTTGACAATGCTTGACAATGCTTGACATTGCTTGACGATGGCAGAAGTCCAGCCGATTGCTCTGATTGACTATTTGTTAGTCCCACTGCTGCGCTTATTGGTTGTTTTATTACAACTGAAAAACTGCTGTTTTATGTCACAATGCCAGACGAATCAGTCAACTTGGTGGAGTGGGTGGATTCCAAGGTCTGGACCAAGGTAAGTATTTTTTCTATATGTGCATTTTTAAGGGCCGAAAGCTCTGAGACAAAATTTGGGCAGAACTATTTGCTTGATTCAACTAGAAGGTGAGCGAGAAAATGTGTTTTTTGCAGTTTGGGTAAAACGACCCTTCAAACTTAATTCTGGCCCTCAATTGTGACTCATCAGACCAAGCAAACTCTTTTTCATTCTTCATGATTACATAGTCACTATAACTTTTTTTGTTTTTCATTGGTATGAGTGGAACACAGCATGACCTCCTTCTGCTGCGGCCCATCCACTTTTAACATTTGATGAGCTGCTTGTTTTCAAATACAGCACCAGTGTTGTACAGAGCTGTTATTTGCATGTGGGCATTTTTTTTGCTTGAATGATTCTTGCCACTCACCTCTCACAATAAGGTGTTTTTGCCCACAAGACTGCTGCTGACTGAATGAATTTTGTTTATACCAGCATTCTTGGACGACTAAAGTGAGTGAAAATTGTAGGAGATTTAGTATAGAAATAAATGGAAAACAAGTCATCATTTCACTTACTTAATACTGATGGCGTACTCAGTGCACTCTTTACTCCTGTGTCGAACCAGATAGGTGCTGTTTCCTCGGTCCAGAAGCTCCACCTCAGCCTGGTACCTCTCCATAGGCCCTGCAAACCTGAACCACCCATGAACAACTACTGCACTTACACTACAATCAATCATTCTGAACATGAGGATGAGAACAGTCGATACAATCAATAAAATAGAGCAAGAATGATTTGTAGTTATTGTAAGCAATCAACAGCCATTTGTTTTCCTCGCTTACCAGAGTTGGGCAGAGTAATCGACAGGTTTTGGAACCTGGAATGGAAAAGAATTGCGGTTATTTTGTGTTTTAATGGAGTCGATACAGAGGGGTGGAGGTCATTTGTGGTAATGTGATATTCAAGCCACATCTAATGACTAAAATCACTCTTCTACGGCGAAAAAGTGCAATTGAAAAGCACTACATTTCTTTGCCAAGACATCAATAGTAGCCATTATCCAGTGAATGCATTGTAATCACACTAAATGTGTCTTATTGATTACGAAAAATATGCACACTTACACACGGGCAAGGCCTCACAGCATCACTTGGAAAGAAGCCAATCTTGCTTGTCGCCAGAATTTTTCCCTGCAATGGCAACTGGCTGTTAATCGCATTATATTTGTCTGGGAGCAACTACACCTCTCTTTTTCTCCCTCTCTTTCTCTCTCTCTCTTCATTTTTCTCTTCCCCTCCCACACTCGCTTCAATAAATCCTCAGCAATTAGCACACAACAAGCAGTGCATCTAATTTGCAGCCCAAGTTAATTATGGTTCAAACTCTGCCGGCAGTTAGATTTGTACTGCATCAAAACAAGAGCCTCGTTTAACACTAAATAATGGATCTTATTCTGGTCTTTGAATATCCAAACAGCGTGAGCTCTCTGGCTTGAACTAAAGACTAACAATTGCATTTTAGCTAGCCTGCCTCAAGCACAACACAAGTTTTATATGAAAATCATTAATTCCTTCAACAAACATAGTGTAGACAGACTTTTTTCTCCAACTAAATAAACCACTTTGTTGAAACAAATTACCTATTTTTTACACAGACGTGCCCCTCCATAGTTGTTTCACTTTATTTCATAACCGTCATTCTCTATCATGTACATTGATGGTAATAAGTATGTCAGCATTAAGCCCAAGTTAATTTCAGTTTCCAGTTTTGAGTTTGCGGTCAATTTGAAGTCCATTGAATCAATCTCAGAAAACAGTGAGTGTTGAGGGCATGTGGAGCTCCTCATTCAGCTTCCTGCCCTGTTTATGCTTTCCTCCTCACTCCTCTTTATTAGAGTATGAAATGCTTTTTGAGACCGTGCAAGCCCCGGCAGTAACTAGATTGGAAAGCGAATCTTTACCCATCTCTATGATTCATTCTGTGTAATAACATTTCATCAAAGGTTTTTTGAGAGCCCCTCTCTATTTGTTATGCTTTCGATAAGCGTATGATAAAGATTAAACTTATTACTCTGTTGGCATAAACAGGCAGCAGCCAAAGGATCAAATGAAATTACAGTGATTGATTGTATTGTTCTGCCAGTGGGATGGGGGATAATTGCCTCCTGGGTAACAGGGGATATGAATTCTCAATGTTCTGTAATTCCATCCTCTGGCGCCACCGGGGACACTGAAGATTAAAGGTACCCTGTGGAGTTTTCATTGTAAATAAACTGGGTTTTCTTTAGATTCTGTGTTCCTCCAAAACACATTGGGTGTGACCGTAAGACCTAACAAACTTGTTGAGAACATTTGTAAAGCCTTTTTTCCATGTTTTCTAACTTTAATTGTTTAAAGGGAACCTATTATGCTCTTCCGTATTTTGTTTCTTAGTTGTAGTTGTTACAATGACGGATGTTCATATTAAATGTGGCCAAAGTTTCAAATAATAAAGTAAATGTATGAAGGAGCAAAAACTCTTGAACACCTGTAACAGTTTTTTTCTACTCTGGCTACAGCATGATGTCATAGTGTGCTGAAATTCTTTATATGGTCATCTGCTCCAGGCACGCTGCTACAAGTGTTTATATCAAGTAGCCTGCATTGCTACGTCAATCTACGTGCTATTGTTAGGAAAACATGTCAACTTGGTTGTGATGTTGCTTTTTTAGAAGCTTTTACTGGTGATTTTTCACAGTAGAAAGTGCCTTTACTCTCTGTTACAGTCATGTATGTTAGCAGTACACTGCTACATGTAGCTACATGCTAATGCCAGGGAAACATGTAATCTTGGTAGCCAATGTCATAAATTGCTCCCAAGTATTCCCACTGGAACATGCCCAATTGTGTTTAGAAGCTTTCATTGGTGACTTTCCATGGTAAAAAGTGCCGCTAGATATGGAAGAACCAGAAATGCTGACCAATCAGAGCAGACTGGGCTTCTCTGGAGGGGGGCTGGCAGCAGCGTTGCCAGGTGTACGATAATTATCGTATCTGTACGAAAATTTGGCCCTCTGTACAATGTACGATCAATAATCCCAAAAAAGGCCAAATGTACGATAATTTGACCATTTCATGAAAGTGTGGTTGTAATCAGTATGCCGGAGTTTTTTTGTGAGCCCTGAAGGCATCTGTTCTCATGTGACATGTTTCCAGCCAATCGCACTTTGCTTAGCATGCGATACGGGTGACGTTTGTCTCTGAACAATGAGCACGATTGGCTGAATGGTCAGCTGTACCCACCCCACGAGGCACTAGGACCCATCAGGAAGTCGAGCGAAAATGAGATTCAAAACAGAAGAAGAAGAAAATTAGAAGCAAGAAAAATGGAAAATAAAGTAAACACTAGAGTGACCAGTGATGTTATACTCTATATCAGCACTCACGGACGGAATGCTTCTCGTCCAATCAAATTACTCAGTCAAAACTAACTGTTGTATAATTGCCTATAGTGCATCAGTAGGATTGTTATTTTGGTTATGATGGATGTACGATAATTTTCCTCAAAATACAATAATTTTGAGTCTCTGGTACGATAATTCTACATTTCCCACCTGGCAACACTGGCTGGCAGAGACAGGCACTAAATGGTGCCATCTCAGACAGAGGGTGAACACAGGTGTTCCAGCACAAACAGTATGAGGAACATAAAGGGTTTTTTTTTGTCTATTAAAGCATGTAAACATGTTCTTGCAGGAACATTAAATACAACCCGAAAATGAGCATAATAGGTCATCTTTAAATGAGATTGCTGTTGTCTTAATCGCTACTGCACGTGTTTACATTAGCCTACACTGCCACATGAATCTATGTGCTATCATCAGGATAACATGTAAACTTGGTTGCTGATGTTGTTATTGTTTAGAAGCTTGTGATTTTTTACAGTAGAAAGTGGTTTTGCCCTCTGTTATGGTCATTTCGTGGCTGCAAATACACTGCTAACATGCATGTAGCTACATGCTAATGCCAGGGAAACATGTAATCTTGGTTGCCAAGGATGTAAATTGCGCCCCGATTTTGGAACATATTCCCTCTGAAACATGTCCCGTTGTGTTGAGAAGCTTTTATTGGTGTTTTTTCATGGTAAAACATGACGCTATTCTCCGTTACAGTCATCCTCTGGCTGCAACGGCAGTGCAGAGAAGCTGAGATATGTTGACTAAACAGAGGAGACTGGGCTAAACAGAGCCCTCACAGACAGAGGGTGAACACAGATGCTCCAGCACAAACAGTATGAGGAAAATAAAGTGTTGATTAAAGCAATGTAAATTAAACCATTAAAGCATGTAAACATGTTCTAGTGAAATGTTAAATACAAGTATGAACCTGAAAATGAGCATAATAGGTCCTCTTTAAATGACATTGTTGTCTTCTTAATCATCTTCTCTTTTATTTTTGCATCATACATTTTCCAGCTCATTACTGCCACCAGCTGTCAATACGCATTACAGCCCTCTGCAGAAAAAGTAAGTACAATTGCGCTCCACTGCAAAACATAGGTTAAATGGAATGTGACGTTTTGGTGGATTGGTTTAAGTGGCGTTGTTGCAGTATCATTATGCACAGGACAGGAATAGATACAAATGTGTATTATCATTTAATTCCTTTAATTATCCCCTCCCCGCAAGCATGGTTTCCATGGCAGCAAACAATGCAGTGCCATCAGGTCTGCAGCATGACATTCTGCTAGCCCTTCTATCGGCTTACAAGAAGTCTCCTGGCATTCATGTCCTCACCCTCCACCTTGTGCTCTGTCACAACAGAGAGAAACACGGAGCATAGGAAATCGGGCTACGTGCCAAGTCCCAGCCGTGCCGTTGGCAAAGACTGTAGTCTGATTGGAGCAGCACCAACAGGAGGATGAGGCTTTAATGCCGCCGTAAAGCAGAGTGAGAAACAGCTAGGGAGGCTGCCGGAAGACCCCAGATAAATCGCCCATCCTTTCAAAAATAGATAAGGTCAAACGCTGTCAACCTTTGGCTGACCTCGTGAGATGGTTGCTAAATGTGCCTGTACATGAGGTTGTGCACTAACCATTAAAACATCCACCAGAGGCTCCAGTGTCTGCTGTTTTATTGTCTCACTGTGGCACTCAATTAATCAACTAAAGCCACTAATTGGTTAGATCATCTGATGTAGGCTGTGATTCAATCCGAGGAGTGAAAGAACAGACACATACCCTGTTTTTAATGTAACTGGGGTTCTGTGGAGTTCAAACAGATCTTTGTCTGATATTTCTAATTAACGCTGACCTCATAATAAAGTCTTATTTATGGCTCACCTGACAGGACCCACAATGTGATAAAACAACCACAATACCATTTGTGATTTATAAACAATGATGGCCGGAGGGAGATAAATTGTTGATGTCACCCCATTAATATGTTTTTGACAGCTTTTTTCAGATCGCGGAACACCCAGCAGGAGAGAGACGAGGAGTGACACGCAGCACGGAATCAAACCCATGACACTGCAAAGACATTGCGTGCACGGAACCAACCCGGTGAGCCGTGACATGTTATTTTTTCATAGAGTCACAGATGTTGAGATAAAACGAAGGATGAGCTGAGTGACACGCACCTGCCACCAGGAGCTGTGCAGGTCGGCAAACATCAGTTCAATGACATCCCCCGCATGAATGCTTAGTGGGGGCCCGCACTGGGGACAGGGGATGCCACTGTAGTCTCTGATCACAACCATCCTGGGTAAACCTAGCAGACAGGGAATACAAACACAGTCATACTCAACTTTTTAAACATTTATCAGAGAGTCAGATACAGAGGAACATACAACAGGTGCAAGAGCAGTAATGCCACGTGTAGCCTGAGTCATCATTACTTTTGGGTAATAGATTAAAACTACAGCAGCCATGTATGACAGAGAGACTTTTTGAAAATGATAAAGAAGAAGGCGCTACTGATAAAATCTTGGGGAAAATAGGCATTTGAATCACAGAGTGCTGTGCTGCTGAGACTCTGACTAAAGTGGAAAGATCATGATAGGCCTATTCCAAGTATTCTGTTAGATGTGTAAAGTTACACTAGGTGTTAGTATTTACTGTACTATAACTGAAATTATGATTAATACTTTTACTGAAACTATGCACTGATAGTATAAATGAAAAACACCTGTGGCTTTTGCATTTCCTGTGTGCAGGGTATAGCAGTTTTTCAATTAGGTTTTGTCATTCATGTCTTAAACACATATACACTGGTATCCAAATGTGTAAATAATGGATGTGTATTACAATTATAACAGACTATCAATGCAAATAAAATGCAACAAATACAAATAGAGAAGAAAGTTTCTCAAAATGTTTGCATGCTCTCATCAAACAGCAAAAGTGCACTTGAAGAAAACAAAAAAGAACAGAAAAAATAGGCCTAATCTCACACCCTCATAAGACTTCATCAACATCTCTCTGTCCAGTATTGTCCAAATATTTATCCATGGCGTGTTTATAGTACTCAAGCTCTGATTTGTGAGTAAAATTGGCAAAATAGTGTTTAATTTAGTTTGGATTAGTTTAGATCATTGGTTCCCAACTGGTCTAGCTACAGGGTCCAGATTTCTCCATAGTCATTAGTTCACGGTCTGCACAGTTTAATACATTCAACGTAATTACAGCAGGAAACAGCAATTCAAAATAAAAGTTCTGTGCCAGAAATTCGCTGTACTTAAAAATATTTTGTCATTTACAAATGTAAGGCTTACAAGTTAAGTTAATTCACATGTTTTAGTAATTTGCTAAAAATACATTTACAACGTTTGCACAGTTAACTATTTACACATATATGTTCACAATTATAATTTACATATTAACATGTTAAAGCATTGTTAAAAACAGTTCAATAATTTGCTGGATCTGCCTCAGTAATCCTCACAGAAACAGTGACAAACCAAAGCAAGTTTTGCTGACCGAAAACGTAAAGGCTGAAATCTTATAATGTTCTCTTTAGATTTATACAGTGCAGTGTGTGGAGACCAATTTTAACAGTTTTGCTGGAAGTGTGTTATTACATAAATTGCAAAGTGAATATATAGCAGTTAGTTGTGCTTAGTTTTGCATAAAGTGTGTTAGAAACTAAGCAGAGTGTAAAGCAGAGTACATACATTCAGTTCAGCACACTTGGTAAATGCACTGGCTACAAGTGCTCATAGTTTCAGATATAGTGCTCTGAGAATCACTGTTAGTTCTAGCGCTCAGAAATAAACTGAAAGTCAAGCACCTCTTATTCTCATTAGGGCCAACTGCAACCTACATACACCATGATATGTTCTCATGCATTTTCTCTTTTCATTTGCTCTTTTCTTCTTCTTCATACTGACAACAGCAAAGTACGGGGTACTGATGCACCCTGGAGTACTCTTTTCTATCATTGCAGCAGTGTGTGGTTGGTAAAACCAAGATTTTTGGCTGTTGTTAAGTTGCTCTTTAAATGTATTTTTTTCAATGCTCTAAGCACAATAAACAAAATTTTCTATCACAACTGCTTTGTATTGGGCTGACAGCAGAAATCTCACAGGCAGATGTGTCAAAACATGGGCAAATGATGCCAAAACTATCTGCATGACTAGATATCACGAGAGTTGGGTGAGATTTTTTTTTTTGTCTGTTTTAATAATTATTTGTACATCTTGTGCTAATCATGTACACAAAGCAATTTTCCTAACTGTCATTGTCCTAAATGTTTCAGCACAATCCATCTCCAGCACCTACATAAACGTGGACGTCCTGACAGTCAGTTTGATTGAGGTCCGTATAAACCATCAGAATGCGGCATCCTAAAAAGCAGCGATTTACTGTTGCAGAAAAATTAATCTCTTTGATTCCTGTACGGTGCTGCTCCAATCTTTCCTCAGCATGGCAGACAAACACAGCCACAAGCATCCGGCTAAGGCTAAGACTAAACACCCCTGCCAACTTAAAAGACACAGCCACTTACTCTCCACAGACTCACACATCTAGCTCTCTCAGACACACCTCCCTTCCACAGCCACGGCTCCCCTGCAAACCAGCCCGAGGAGACTATTAGCTGACGGTGACCTCAAATGAATGGAATATCTCATATTCATGTTTTTAATAAGAACAATAAGCACGGCTGTCTTTCTCATAAAGCCCCTTATGGAAATTGATTTATCACAAAGGCACAGCTCAGCGGTTGAGGCCGAGGCATATAGTATGCTGGAAGTGCTTTTCTGCCAGCATTTCTCCTGCCATAGTCCTCATAATGATTCCACCCACTCCAATTCATCTCAATGCCGTCTTGCCGTTCTCACGCAGTGAGAAAAAGGCTTTTTTTTGTGCATTGGTTAAGGGATCCCTCTGCATCCTATTATTCATTGGTTATTCTTACTCAAATCTATTTGTCAGAAGGAAACTGTTGTTGCTCATTTCCTCCTTTGAACCCTGTATGTGAGCAGGAGAAAATCATGTCAGTGCATTTCTGAGAAAACATCTTCAGGGTTTTTTCAGGGGGTCAAAGTAAAAAAGAAAGAGTTGAGTAACATTTGATCAAAAATGTGATGGGTGGGTGAGGGCTATGATAACATCTGAGGTTGAGCTTTAAACCACCATCTATCTCCTCCAGGTCTCTCTCTGGCCTCTGACTAACCGTCTCCTTTTCATCCTGCCAGTGTTTGTTTTGTTACAGAACCGAGATGAAAGCGGCTTAAGAGGTACCACGTAAAGCCCTTAGCAGGTTCACAAAAGCGGTGAAATGGTCGTGCCATACTGACCTGGGTCTGGTGGTGTTGTGCTTTCCTGTAGATGGAGAGAGAAAGTAAGCAAGATGGAGAAAAACAAAGAAAACAAGGGAGGAAAAAAGAATTACAGAGAGAGAGAGATCCTTGTGCAGGATCAGCCTGACCTGAAGAATGAGTCATACTCTTAATACAATCATACTGTGTGTTCTACTCATTAGATGTGTGGGCTAACCATTTTAAAAGTGAAAGACAGGCAACAAGAGTAAAATTTGGGAGTTCTCTTTCTCAGGATTTTGTCTTTTTGGGGGGAAATTGTAATAAAAAAAATTATAAGTACTGGATCTTTTTATCCTTTTGTCCACAACACACCAGGGTATCATAGAGTGTTCACTTTTTAGATTAGCTGTCACAAATTGCAGAGACAGAAATGTCTGGGAGGCACACTTGAATTTCTTGCATTTGTTGCGAAGTGACTCATTTTGCCCATTTCAGTTTAAAAATTAAAAGTACTCATCATTTTCTGAAAGGTGAATTACATGAAGCTTTAAAGGGCCAGTGTGTGGGATTAAGGGGGATATACTGGCAGAATAACTATGTTTTCTTCAGTGTTTAATCACCTGAAAATAAGGATCGCTGTATTTTTGTTTCCTTAGAATGAGCTGTTTATATCTACAAAGGGAGCGGGTGCTTGTCTAAGGAGTCCACCATGTTTCTAAAGCCCCGTTTCCACCAAGCAGTACGGTGCGGTACAGTTCATTTCGGTACGCTTTTTTCCATGTGGATGGTGCCAATGGAACCGTTCTGTACCATCCCCAGTTTTGGTCACCCCTCCATTGGGTTACCTAGCACACAGATCTGGTACTAAAATGTGGAGCTGTGAACACTGCAGTCTGTTCTGGCTGTCTGGCTGAGGTGATGCTGGTTTATGTAACCACTGGTCATACCGTGGAGAGTTTTACGTATACTAGTAAACTGTGACTATAAAATGAAAGGATGTTTTGCTGCCTCACACAAAGGAGTACTGTTTATGGTGGAAATGCTAAGCAAACCTATGTCTAAAAGGTTACTTTTGGTTCCAAAGGTACTGTATCCGAAAGTGCCGAAACCTGTCTTTAACACACTTGGTCTGAAGAGAGCCATTAGACGTTTTGCATCGGCTACTGTAGTGAGCAGCCCCTCGGCAATGAACTGAACAGCATTGGAAAAACGCTAATATCTAATGTGAAACTTCCTTATTCAGTGTTTTTACTGGTTTTAATTACCTGGCCTGGTTGCTCTGGAAAGGAGTAGACTCTGCAGATAATTCGGCTCATGGTAAAAACCTCATGAACAATAAATACTGAAGGAATCCTAAACGGGGTGTCATGCTTGGTACATGGGAGAAATTTCAGCTGGTTGCGATCTGCAGTCCCCACCACTAGATGTCACTAAATCCTATGAATCCTACACACTGTTCCTTTAGGTGCACCACAGCAATAAGACTATGAAGACTTTTAAAGTGTCTAAATATAGTTTTATTATGACATATGTTCCATTATCGATTACATCTAAAGAACTGTAAGTAATGCACCATTAAAGTAAATGATGTCCAACCCACAGAGCAGCAGCAGGACATCTGACTGACCCACTGTTGTGTGTTCACACGAGTCTGGCCAATCAGACCTCCACATGTGCGTCATATTATCTTATCTGCTATGTTATGCTTCACTTATTGTGTCGGTGTCTAAGTTAAAGAAGAGAAATAGTTCAGGTCTTACCTTGGGTTTCGGCTTGGCGGAATCTGCAGTCAGGTGAGAGACAGACACAGTGAGAGGAATACAATATGAGCGTGTGGTGGCTTTCTGACATACAACCTCAACTGTCAACCCCTGCTGGCCCTCATCATGCCTCAGAATGCATAAAGACCACAGCGCTTCTGCTGAGAAGGCTTGTCAAAGGCCTGAGCTGCCTTTAGCTGTCTGTGTATTCAGGATGGGTAATGTACCTGGACTACAGCCCCAGACTGGTGACAAAGAGCTAAAGCTTGACACAGGAGTAAGATGCAACATCTGCTGAATATCTTTAGGACATAATTTATCTTTAACTTCAAAGCATCATGTGTATTTTGATGTTTTCAAATAACGGGATTTTGATTTTATGTAAAGGGGGAATAAAGGTATGTTCAAGTGGAAATCTGAGCCCGAGGGTCACAAAGTAAGGGAAGGGGTTACACCAGTCAGACAGATTAATCTTTTGAGAACCATAAATATTTATAACAAATTTGATCGTTATACCTGCTGTAAGATATTTTATGTACAAGGTTGGCAATCTGGTATGAGTGTGTGGGGCTGGAGGAAAGCTCATGGAGTGCCCAAAATGTAAAGAGGTCCTCCCTCAGGGAGCACCAATGTGCAGAGTAAATTTCAAGGAAATCTGCCTTTTAAATTTTGATATTTTGTGAGTTTAGGTGGAAAATGTGGCCTGGTGGTGGCGCTAGAGGAAAGGTCACCAAAAAATTTAGGAAATGTTCTCTGAGGGACATAAATATACAAAGAAAATATCATGGAAATGATGCCATTGGTTTTTACGATAAGTTGTAAAGGACCAAAGTGTCCCATCTCACCTGTTCTCCCACAGACTCCCAGTCGGCCCAGACACTCCTTATGAGCCCCCAGCCCACATTTTTGACAGAGATAACCCTGGTTAAAGATGCCCCTGGACACAATAAACCACAGTATATATTTTATGCATAACAGCGTCCTTAAGAGAAATACCTTGACATTTTGAATTTCCAGGCTTCTGTCACAGTCTCATGATAAGAAAAATGACACTGGAAATGTCCTTCAGCTTTCCAGAACCATAAAACTGATCCTGTCTGCTGAAAACTGAGACAGCTAAAAGTCTGTAGTCTCTAGTTCTTTCAATTAAACCCAGTGCTAATAAGCCGTTCAGTGAGAGGCTAATTTCAAAGAAGTGCTTGAGGAAAACTGGCTGAAGACTGAAATGTAAAATGTCATGGTGTTCCTTTCATACCATCAATATCAAAAAGATTTGAAAGTGTGTTTTTCCAGAGAACAGTGCAATAACACACAATGATTTGCCATCTGAGAACAGTGGGTGAGCTTACAGTTCATGTTCACCCTGTCTCAGTCGTGGGACTGAAGTCTCCTGTAAAAACATCTGCAGGGACTTCATCAGGTCCACGTAATAATCCAAAAAAGAACAGTCTGTTCATATGACGGGATATTACCTGAGCAAGAGGTGACAGAAACTACAGGAGGTGATCCTTTCAAAGGTGTGCATCTTGAACTGGTGAGAGTTGTGGTTGGCTTTCTCTGGACGGATATTTGATCTGAGACAGGGAGTAAGAGCAAAAGCTGGTTAAATGAAAATAAGAGTCTACAGCCAGGCTGGTGACTCTGTCATGCTGTACGAAAGCACAGCGGGCTGTTCTAATGCATTGTTCATATGTTTTCCTTTGAAAAATACTGCCCCACAATTCCTGTTTAACCCGTGTAATCAGGAAGAGCAATGTACTGATTGGAGTAAAGAGTAAACCTGCCTTAGGGGTCAGGTTGGGGTGGTTGGATGGGTCACAAACAAATGGAACTTTCCCCCAGGAGACTGTTGTTTGTAACCTTGTGAAACTAAGTGAACTTTGAGTTATTATCAGGTACGTCATCATCATGCTTCTTTTCCCAAACCTAACCAATGTAACTTTACCGTAAGTACATGACATCATTTGTGGGGTGCTTATTTATTATCATAACCCCTAACCCTAACAAAGATATCATACATACTCAGCAATGCTTTAAGCTATGCTAAAATGCAGATGTTAAGCAAGGACAATGTTTACCATGTTAGCAGCCTTAGTTGAGCATGCCCTGTTAGCATGCTAACATTTGCTAATTAGCACTAAACACAAAGTACATCTGAGGCTGATGGGAATATAATAAAAGTATTGGACAAACATAAATTTTGACTTGATGATGTTGCTAGAGGAAAAATCATAGGACCATCGAAGTTAACATACAGTACATAAACTCAAATTGGTAGCCCGGGCTATAATTCGTTCAAGAGGCTTATATATGGGACAGGCATCTGTATGGGACAGGGCTTTAATTCCTTTTAAAGAAAACTGTTGCTCAATAAAGATGGGAAATATGATGAAATTGTTTATTTTAACCAGTACAATATAATGTATAAAAATTAGACTTTGAATAACATCAATGACGAATCATTTGTTTGATCTAGTTTGGACAGACAAGGCATCAGAGAGAGAGGTTTATGACCACTGGTTTTACGGCACTTGAGGATTATGGCACCCAGCATACTGACACAACATGAAAAACCTTTTGATTCTTTTGATCTGAGGACCCTTACGGACTAAAGGATTATGAATATGGTAATCAGGGACTGGACACGTATTCTGACTTCATGACAGCTTCAGAGGTAGAGAGTCACCACTTGTTCTTTCGTCATGCCGGTAAATCTGAATGAATTATAGTCTTCTCTGGTGCTCATGGTTCCGGTAAAATGACCTAAACAATTGAACTGTGAAGAATCTAACCAAGCTAACAATGGGTAGCATAAAAACATTTATATTTGTATGCATAATCTAAACAGCTAACTAACATTAGCTCAAATGGGTAGCCAACAACCTGGTTTTATACATCCAAAGAACTTCTATAAAAATGAACTGCTTCGCAACCAGACCAGGCCTCTAATTGAGACAGGCCTTTATTAGTCTAATTGTGTAGCCACACCGCTCTAGTAAAGGGGACTGGGTGTTTAATTGGAGTTTTAAGGTAATTTATCCTGAGATATTGCCATGATCTCTATCAGCCTATCATGTTGCTACTGTCAAACTTCAAATCTGTTCTCGCTCTCTGCTGCTGTCATTTTAGGTTGAATTGCAACATCCTCCATCACCCCATTTACCTATCATATCCAGAGCCCAGATCCAGCTCATAAAATGTCCACTCCTTGTCATATCCTCAGCACTTTCTTTATCTCATCACCACCACTACCAGCGTCTAGACTCCATGTGGGAGTTCCCGTTTTGACTATGGCTTCACCACCCCTCTCAAAATATATATATATCACAATGTGGTCTAAATGCCAAAGACTATTCATATTTTTCATACTTGTAAGTTTCACTCAGAATGAGTATCTCCTGATTGAAATAGCTGTTAAGACATTTCACCCAAAACCACAAATGGTGGTTGTGCGAGAAGAAAAGTCAGGGGATCACCATAATCATTAGGATTCTTCCTCTACAGACTATGAGTGTTTGCACACAATTTCATAGCAACCCATCTGGTATTTACAGAAATATTTCAGTCCAGACCAAAGTTCTGTAATGACAGTGCATCTCAGTAGTGGGAACAATTTTCTTTCAATGTGCTTAAAACACAAAACATTCCTAATTAACTCAATAAAACCACTTTGTCGTGACAAAAACAATCTGCAATTTGGTTCCTTCAAAACAGCAATTTTACCTCCGGTAAATATGTTCATGTGAACGACGAGGGCCCAGACAAATATCAATTTTGAGCCGCATGCGTTCAAATGTGAGAGGGGAAACATGAATAGCAGAAATAAGCAGCCTTTCTGGAATGCGCACAAACACGACTGACACAAAAACACGTTTTCGCATTGAACACACCATCCAGAAGCCACTTAGACTGAGTGCTCCCATAAGTGAGTCCTTCATCAGGAGCCCACATCCTCTTTACAGGTACAATTTTCACTTTCTGAATGGACCCCTCCTGGTGTCATTACCCAATGCACAGAGGCACACAAAGCTGTTTTCAGACACAAACTCGGTATCCGCAGGAAAAAAAATGTTCCAAGAAGGATGAGGTGGGAAACTTCTTCTTTAAATTTGAGAAATTACACATAAGGTTTTCAGAAGGTGTCAAGTGCTTAGTGGTCTTGAAGGGTGTTTTATCTTTTTATAATGTCTTGAGCCTCCTTGTTATTACCATTAGTGTTATTTTGTGTTTATTGCTATTATTATTTTTATCTCTATCTGTGGTTATCATCAGTCTTCTTCTTTTTAATATGTTTTTATGCTTATCTTTTGTTCAATGTTACCTTAATTTTTGTCTTGCCCTAATTTCTGGCCTCTATTATGATATTGCCTCTGAGGTAGCTTGCTTTGGCTTTGCTTTGTGAAAGCACTGTGTAAACTCTGCTTTTAAAGGTGGCATATAAATAGAATTGTTGTCGTTATATTGCATTCCATTAGCACTGTATAATTATTGTTATAAGCACTCAAAAATATTCAAAAAGCATATTATAACATAACATGTATTGTATTTAGACTTGGTCCTCAAAATAAATGGAAGTAAATGAGGAGCCTGAATCCGAGGAGGAATGACGGTGTTGACAGTGGATGACAGAGACGCTAGTGGTTGCTCGCTTACTTGTAGGTGACATTAAATCGAGGTAAGAATTTTTGGCAAATTCTGCTAAAGTGAAATATCCCTTTAAAGTTTGAGCTATACCAAATGTTAACACCAGTGCATAGTTTGCACCTTTTTATCAAGAAGTTGGTGGTGTTGATAAACTTTTACATAAAAGTAAAATATACAGCTACAGGTAAAGTTTAATTTTATTACCTATTATATACCTAGGTATCATAAAAAAGGTTTGTCAAAGTGGAGTGCTCATCTTCAAATGAATTCCTTTGACAGCATTTCGTGTGTTGTTCTCACATAAATTTAATGATTTTTTTTCCTTTACCTAACACAAACAATGACCACTTACAGTGACGTATAACAAGTCTGTAATGTATTATATTTGCCTGTACCTCTGGGATTTCATTGCTTTACTTAAAGCACCTAATGGATACTTAGAATATCTTAGAATCATATTATTGCAATAGTTTAATGATTTAATATTATAATAATTTTATTTGTATAGTACTTATCTACACAAGGTTACAAAGTGCTTCACAAAGTGCATGAAATAAGACAAAAATAACAATTAAAATATTTTTAAAAATGTTAAGAGCAGAGAAAAATAGTGTGTACAGAGGCAAATATAGAGCAAAAGGAAATAAAATGTTAAAGTTAAAAATCAAAAAGTACAAATCAGGCTTTAAAAGGGAAAGTTTTCCTATAAGATATGTTTAAAGCTATGATTTAAAAACTGGTAATGTGCTAGCCAGCCTAATATCCTCAGGCAGAGAATTCCAGAGCCTCAGGGCCTTGATGGCAAAGAACTATCTAGGGACGACTAGTGAGGGTAGGCTTGAAGATTTCAGGTCACGACTTGGAGCATAGGTAGTCAGAGGCTCAGCTATATAACTGTGGGCTAAACCATGTTGAGCTGTTATTAAAAGAATCTTAAAATCAATTCTGAGGTTAACAGGCAACCAGTGGAGGGAGGCGAGAATTGCGGTGATGTGTGACCTACGATTTGTCCCAGTTAAATACGAGCTGCAGCATTCTGCACTAGTTGACTTATTGAGGCATGTAAACAGTGCATTACAGTACAACAGCGAGTATGATGCATTATAGCTATAAGAAGTAGAATTAACTATGATCCTTGCAAAAAAAGTCAGTGAGCGATATGTTGTGATTCTTTAAGTGTGCTTAACTCTTATTACACAGTTCTATAAGCAGATTATAATGCATTAAAGTATGTTTATAATGCATCATAGACATGTTACAGAAAGTGTATCCCATACATCAAATATAATCCAGTACACTATGAGAGCTGGAAGTTGGCCAAAGGGCAGGTAGTCAGCATGCATATCAGGAATGTTGTTTTCATACATATCCACCCAAAACACACAAGCATTTGCTCAGTCAATCAGAGTGTAATGTCAAAACAACACTGTCTACTCCTGAATCAACACAACAAAGGATGCAGACAGGATATCTGCCTGAGAAAAACCTCCCACTGTTACAAAATAATACAAAAGATATACCTCCATAAAGCACTGATTTGAAGAACCATCGAGGCAGAGTGACTTCTTTGTAGTTTTGCAGCGCTTTGGAGCAGTTTATGTGTAACGTGTGGGTTTGTGTGTGTGTGTGTGTGTGTGTGTGTGTGTGTGTGTGTGTGTTATCGTACTGTTGTCAGCAGTGTGTGCTTGATTACAGCAAAGACCTGATCAAACAGTGCACATGAAAGAGTCAACACCTCTGTCGGCCTTGGAATAACATGCATGCAAACAAAGGAAAATAAACACCACACACATACAAGCACATGGTTAGCTTTCTCTGTGACACACACACACACACACACACACACTGGTCCTCTGTGTTGGTTACAAACTGTGCAGTGTTCATGTGTCCGTGTACTTACATGGCCATTTCAAACTGATCCAGCCACTTCTTCTTCAGCTCTCTGGTCTTAAAAAAGAGTTCAAAGCCGACGTGTCCCTGCTGGTGAGTCACGTAGAACCCGTAGCACCACTGTGAAGGTCAGAAGGAAGACGGCAATCAAGCTGAATGCATTTTCTCATGAATGCATATGTGCATTTGCATGCTAATGTGAATAGAAGGGAAACATGGCTACAGTTGCGCTGTAATGATCAACTCACAGAGTGTATACTTTATAAAATGGTGGGTAGCACAGTAACTAAGTGTTACCTCTTTCAGGCTTTGCATTTTTTTTCTTTATATTTGTATCATAAATCTCAGACACATACGGCAGGTTGTTATACTGTATTTGTGGGTTTAAGTGTAAACAGTACATGATACTGGAAAGATAAGAAAACTACAAGTAATTGGAGATTGATTCAATGGTCTGATGTACCGCCATTAAGGTGCAATGTGTAAGATATTTTTTTTTTGTTCAAAACATTCAAAAACTGAACATTATCAGCAGGATGGTAAGAAGTAAAGTCCAGTTCAGACCAATGATTCATGACAGGACAAAACCGTTCTAGAACGTTGCAGAGAAAAGTTGCAGCGTCGTGAGCTGTCTGGGCTGAGTTCGACTTAGCTCGATCACACAGAAATGAGACGCTTCAAAGACGCTTGAAACGCTGGAAGCGCTTATTCAATGTGCTCTAGCTACTGGCGTCTGACGCTCAAAAAAGTTGAAAATATTTTAACTTTTCAGCGTCTACATGCGTCTAAAAAGAAGCGTCTACAAAAATGTGCGTCTAAAAAGATGCCGAAAAAACGCCTGTCTAAAAAGGCGCTTGAACGCCAGTCAGACGCGTCATATCATAGGAAAACAATGGTTTTACTGGCGTCGCGTTTCTAGTGTTTCATCTCGGTGTGATCGCTCCCTTAGTCCGGCTGATGGTGTCAACTGCAACTCAGCTTGTCAAATCGCTGACTGCTGGTTTTAGAACGTAAAGATCGTCACCTGTTTCAACAGCCAATCATCTTGTAATGAAGTCCACTGGTCAAGTCAAAACGACCGCAGGCGGCGTGTTTGAATGAAGTTTTAGGATTAGTTAGCGAGGCAATTAAGGCAGTCTAAAGGCCCAGAAAAACCAAACCAACTTCAGAGAAGTCGGACGAAGGCCCCCTGGCTGTGTCGTCTCACGTCACCATGTCTCGTCCAAAAAGTTGTTCATGAACACACCAGCAGACAGCGGTTGTCTTTAAACGTCATTCAAAAAGGGAAACCGGAAGACCAAGTTGATGCTAGTTAGCCGGTTAGCACATTAACAACACAATCCAATGTTAAACGAACAAGGTATTTATACCGTGCACCAGTGAAGAATAACACAAACCATCGCGAAAGGTTTCTACTAAAGAGCTCAGTGGCTAATAAAAAATTATCTTACTTTATGCAACAAGTTTGTTTTGATCTCACTTCCTCCTGACTTTAGCTCTTTGTTTACTTTCCTCACTTGTGTTTCTCTTGTTGTGCGCTGAGCCAAACTGCCAATCTGAGTGATTTCATGTACAGATGGGCTCTGCCTTCACTGACGCCAATCCAACATGCTAAATTGACCCCCAAAAAGCCAATGGAGGCCAACAAGGGGCAACAGTGCGAGACACACCGCACCGACCAGGGCAACAGACTCTCAGTGACTCAGCAATGACCATCGCCCAACTGTTGACTTGGTGTGTCAGGGCCTTCAGTTCAATGAAAAAACTTGAATTCAGAAGGTATTTTTCTGTTTGATAAGAAAAAAAGGTGTCAAAACATTTCCTGTATTGACATTTGGTGAGTTTATTTTGTTTATTTATTGAACTAAAAAAGCTAAGAGAGCTTGTATGATTGGCTTGGAGGTAAAATGCTGCCCCCCATCAGTTTGGAGCATGAGGCCAGGCATTACAGATAACAACTTTAATGCCATCATCAGTCGTCACTGGCTTTATTTCATGTGTCCTGGTGCCAAGATTGTTGCCACCAGGCTCATTGATCAACCAAGAGTGAGTTGGCTGCTGTTTTTTTTTTCTAACGATGTCAAAAGAGCAGCAGCAATAGAAGTTTAACCAGAGTTCTGGCCAAAGAGGACTATGATGCTGTGATGACAGTGAGGCAGAGTCAGCTAATCTGCTTCAGAGGAACCAAATACGACGTTCGATCTTTATTTTCCAAATGCATCCTAAATTTAGAAACAGCATCAAAACTTGAAAGCACAGTTGAAAAAGTGCTCGGACATTCTGGGTGTAAACTTAACTATCACTTTCTCTTCAGCAACACATTCACAGCTTGGCACATTCTTCAACCGCTGGGCACTAAATATCCACTGCAGCACTTACACATTAAATGTCTTGCCCGTGGGCATTTTTGGAAACGATTTTCAATCAATTCCCAAACCTCTCAGTTTGTGCCACCCTAATCTGCTCCAGCTTGTTGTGTCATATCTAATAACAGGAAAAGTGGTAGGGTTTACCCGTCAGTGATTGGCCAGCCCTGCAAAGTCCTGAGTGTTTTAGAGCTCGGCTGAGTGTTAAATCATTGATGACTGTGTGGGTGCTCAGTGGCACCACATCCACACTCTGAAGTTTCATTTAGCAGAAAATGATATATAGCTATAAGCAGCCTTGGAGGACCACGCACATTCATCACCTGATATTAGCATCTCTGTCCTGCAGTGTGTGTTCAGGTGGGTGTAGGGTACACAGAATCTGTATGTCTGTGAATATTTGTCTTTTTCTGTGTTTCAGTGTCTTGCTGCAAATAATTTCTCACACCAGTCTGCGTCCTTTTGTGCAACATAATGTTGGAAGATAAAAATAATGACGCGCCCGAGCAAAATTACACTGTTTGTGTCAGTACAAGATTGTTAATTTCGAAATAATGCTAGATACAAGCCGAAATAATGCCAACCACACACATAATCCCCCAAAAACACGCCAAGACCATGACTGTACTTGTCAAATACCAGTTGCTGCCATACACATGTCCCACACAAGCACACAACACACACTGATGGTGACAGCACAATAGAGTAAATGAGTATGATAATGGAGTCCCTTTGATAATAACCGCACAACCATCCCATTCTGGCAAGCTGTCAGCTTCACATTAGCAATCAGCACCAGAGTGAGAAGACACCATCTGTGGGCATACATCAACAAGACATCAACAAGTCCCCTCACTACAATACGGCCTGCAAACGTTCCCACGAGGCGAAAAATAGCATACTGTATAAACTGTGAGGGGTGACTGACCCTATACCAGAGAGAGGGAAAATATCACTCTAGATTACTAACATTTATTTTAGCTATAAAATCTGCAGCCAAACATGTTGAGTAGCAACATTCCCACACAGAAGTGTAGTTTAATGGTGTGAAGTGATTGGTATGAACAAATATAAACTAAAACTAATCGAAATGTGATGTAGATACACCTAGAGAGACAATATTCAGTGCAGTGTTAAGTGCAGCATCTGTCCATTCATATGTATAGCAGTGGTGCCCCAAGGGGGGGGCACAGAGGTAGTGGTATTTTGTGTTATCTTCTGAAACCATACAACCTAACGCCAGGACCTGAAAGCACCGCAAAGTGCACCAATTTTCCTTGGAATGCTGCCCGCATCATTTGCCCCCATTGCCCAATGAGCAATGGGGCTCTTCACACTGGACATGCTGCTGCCCCAAGCTCCACAGCCAGCTTGCAATCTGCAGCAATAGTTTCAGTGTCTGGTCTACTTTATCCACAAGCTGCGAGCGAATCTGGCAAGACAACACACTGATAATCTATTCCGAATGATATAAATGTTATACTGGATGTGATATAAATGATCTAATTATGATAACGGATAGAATATGCATCCCTTGCTTCCACATATTTGTGTCTCAACAGAGAGCAAGAGGGGCAAGAGGGCACATACAGACACACAAGCAAAAGGGGACAGACCTCTATATGTGATTAAAAACAGAGCAGAGGAGCAGAATCGCTTGCTGACCAGCGTGGAGAAATGCATTTCTGGTGTGAAAGGCCAGGCGACTGCTGACGGGCGGCTGCTCGACAATTGACATATCAGGGTGTGAACATGGTGTAAGGCATCCCCTGGTACCTGCCATGTCAGCAAAGCTTGTCGGGGAGGGGGCACAATAACACTCCAAATATAGGTTTAATTTTGGCGAGGGAACAGCTTTCATGGCCATTTTCAAAAGGCTCCCGTGAACTCTCACCTCAAGATAAATGATTGAAAATGTGTGCTATGGGTACCCACGAGTCTCCCCTAAACTTGAGATGGCTTGTTCACAGTAAATGTTTTATTCCTCACAATCAGTGTGTGTGTGTTTTCAAGAAAAGGACAATCAGCCTACTTGAGGAACAATGAATCGCCTAGAGTTCCTTAAATTCAGTTATGGCTTTTGGTTTTGATGTGCCACCCTAAGATTTACAGTGGCTCCATCTGGCCACCCCTGTAAAAATTTCTGGTGTCGCCACTTATGTATGGTACTACTTTGTCTGTATGCAGCCAACTGACCTTTTTACCCTCTCTGTCCGTAGTGGGGTTGTTTGTGATCTTGAAGTAGTTGAGTTCGAGTATGTCCTTCATCTCATAGTTGTCGCCTCTCCTCTTGCACACAATGACAGCCACATCAAATAGAAAGATGTGTCTGTAAAATAAGAAGACGGAGTGTTATATAACACTTTGCTCTTGTACACTGTCGAGACGTATGGTAAATGTGTTACGCTTCAGTAAAGCGACATTCAAGTTAAAGTAGAACAACCTGTCCTGTTTCCTCTTGTCAACACTGGAGACCATGCGCACTTCTCCGTCACCCTTTGGTCGACCAAAGCTGAGTAGAGGCTGATTCTGAAAGTAAAAAAAATAGGGGGTTAAAATGAATATGAAATATGGCTGAATTAAGTATGACATATATGCATTTGAAATAAATGCATTAATAAGTAACCAAGTCCAGTTAAAGGCATAATAGTAAAATACTTCTGATGTGTTTAAATGTGTCACTGGGGACACATTTCTAGCATGAACTATCTATTACACAATGTGTGTCTCTCAGCTACTTAAAATATAACCCAGACCCAACCTATATATTACTGGTTTTCATTTTTTTCCCCTCCAAACTGCATATTGAGGTATTCCCAGTAAAACACCATGTAAGTCCTGGCACCATCAGCTCATCAGTGTCAGCAGGCTCTTGTTATCACCAATGACATCCACATCGAGTCGCCAATTCTGTTCAATCAAGACAAGTAGAAGGTCTTCATAACCTGACAAGCTCTTTCCCTCACAGTGTCCTCTGCTGCTGGTTCCAACCTGCTACTGGTTCTGTCAACTGATTTCTTCCTTCACCACCTTATCTCATCCTGTTCCCCTTTCTCATTACCACATTTTGTGATGGCTTCTCTTGCCTTATGTATGAGGTGCGTTCCATATATTTCACCTTACATAAGATATGCTTGTGGTGCGCTCTGCACGGCCCTGGAACGGGATTTTTTTATGGTGTTCCACTTTGAAACCCACTCTGTCAGAATGTCTCACATATAACAGCTGTTCAATTTGATATTTTAATTACGGCAATAATTATTAAGATGCAGCTGCTATGAGCAACTTCATCCATTAACTGGTTTAAGGCTGCAGCTAACAATTATTTTAATTACGGATTAATTTGCTGATTATTTTCTAAATTAATTGTTTTCCGTAAAATGTCAGAAAATTACACAAGCCCTGAGAGGAAAGTAAGAAAATAAATACTCTAGTGATCCATTTTCTAAGTCGGGTCTATTTTGTTTTCTTTCCTGTTTTTATAAACAAAGAGCAGGTGAAAAATAAAGGTTTTACCAAGTTCCTACCAAGTTCCTATATAATTTCCCACAGCCTCGATGTATTCAAATCTCTTGTCTCTTTGTCTGGCCAGCAGACTAAAGACATTTATTATCACAAACGATTCAAAATAAAAAAGCAAGAAAGAAACAAATCCTCATATTTGAAAAGTTGGAATCAGGGAATATTTATTACACTGAATACTGACACAATTGATTAATAATCAGAATTTCTTTTGAAAGCCCTGATGAAGGTGAAACACATCAGCTCTTCTAATGATTTAGCCACTACAATAAAGGCTTTTTAAAAGTTCCCTCCTCATTTTTCTATATTTTTTCCGGTGTGCCTGGATTGCCTTCCTGTCAATCATCAGAATTGTTGCAGATTAATTTAAACTAATTGATTTCTATGTCTTTCTTTATTATAAAGCAGGTCTACATGCTATTTAAATACTGTGAAAGTATATAAAATGCTCAATCCATGGAGAAATGCACACAATCTGTATTCAGAAACCTTTGTCTTTAAACAAGCTGTCAGGACTTCAATGATATTGTGATGTCACAACTATACCTTATAAAGATAGAAAGTGCCACTACAGTGCTGTTAGTCATTTCCCAGCTGCAATGATAGTACACAGACACAAGAGTGCACATGTCTAAGACCCGTAAACACTGACCAATCAGAGCAGACTGGGCTTTTTTGGGAGGGGGGCTTAAAGAGACAGGCACTAAAACGGAGCATTTCAGACAGAGGGTGAATACAGCTACATTCAGGCAGACAGTATGAGAAAAATAATGTGTTTTTTGGACATTAATGTATGTAAATATGTTCTAGTAGAAACCCAAAATATGAGTGTGAACCTGCAAATGAGCATAATATGGGACCTTTAAGGGGAGTTTTTTTTTATGTAAAGTTTAAGTGTAATTTTATCTTATCATGCTTCAGAAGGAAATTCTTGGAAAAAATAAAAAATGAAACTCGCAGAAATGCACGGTGACATGACATGAACTATAATTAGGTTTATTCAGGTGTAGTGAGTAAAGTATGTTAGCTTCCACCTGCATTAACCCCTTAAATCTACACTCAGAGCAGTAAGTTGTTTCCTGAATTACTGGCTGATTCCCTCGGGCTACGGCAAAACTGAACTGCTACAAAAAATGAAACATGATATTCAAGCTGCTTATAGCTGTAGGAAAAGATTTTAATTTACCAGGTTTTCAATAGATCTCTGGTACTGGTCGATCTCCCTTAGAGTCTCGTTATCTCTCTTCACCTCGTTGACAAACTGAGCCAGGTCCTGGGCAACACATGCAAACACACACACACAGAAATATACACACATTTTATTGGTTTAGCGAAGTCTGGTGGTAGTGAAAGGGGTTATATGTGTGCACATTTTGGGAAATATAAAAACACTTATTGTCTTGCTGATTGTCAGATGAGAATATCAATACCACTCTTCTTACTGACGGTTCAATATAAAGCTGGAGCCAAGAGGTGGTTAGGCTTTCTTAGCTTAGCATAAAGCCTGGAAACAATGTTAAGTTGCAGTTTTATGGGAAACAGTCGAGCACATAACCCTTCATAAAAGTGCAACTTGTTGTTTTTACATTTGACTCTGGTATAGATTTTTTTTTTTAAACTGTTTTAAATTGTTAATTAGCAAGCTGGTACATGGGCAGAGCCAAGCTAGCTGTTTCTTTATCTCCAGTCTTTATGCTAAGCTAAGCTAATCAGCTGTTGGCTGTAGCTTCATATCTAACAATCAGGCATAGGAGTGGTATCAATCATCTCATCTAACTCTTGGCAATAAAGTTAATAAACATTGTAAAATGTCTACATATTCTTTTAAGTTTATATATGCATGTTGTAGGGTGTTGTTGCTGCATTTCTGTCCTAAAATCAGCTGCCTATCAACCTCAGGTTCCAATCAGGACTGGAAAAGTGAAGTATGAAGCGCTCACTAATGTAATGTAGCCTAAATTTAAAGTTTTATCAATTCTCATACATTTGTTGCAGAGAAACATGAATGATTTATGACTTATCTTTTTGTTATCCAATGAAAGGCTGTTTCCACTAAATTAGTGTGCTGTTGGAAACAAGCTGAAATCACAGTGATTACAGACCATTTTCCATAAGCACCGCACTTACTTTCATGGCATCAAGAGCAATCTTCAAGTTGCTCTTGTCAGCAGCATCGTGAGTGTGTTTGACTAGCTCCTGTTGGAGGACGACAGAGAGGAAAAGATGGACAATGTTCACATGCATAATTGCACACTCAGGCAAACACAGTTAGGATGAGTAGTTGGGTTACTGACTGAATGAAGATTACTTTTAGATTAATTTCTTGTACTCACGTAATGGGACAACAACCAATTTTCTTAAACTAATCTTATTCTAGGACAAAAAGGTGACTAAAAATAAAGCTGAATAGGAATAGGAATGTAACAAAGAACATTTACTCCAGTATCATACTTAAAGAACAAAATTGAAATCATTATACTTTACTTGGGTACTTCAATTTTATGCTACTTTACATGCTTTCTCCACTACATTTGCACTCACTGGTCATTCTCGGCCATTTCAATGCACTGTTGCAGGATTTTTGTACACAATCTTCTATATTTGCCAATGTCATAGCTGGTCCTTGTAATCATGTGTAGGTGCTGTTTTTTTTGCGTTTTTATGGTTCATTTCTTTTTGGCTTTTCTTTGTAGTAATCTTATTTTGTGTTTTATACTGCTTCTTTTTAGAGCTTTAAATTTTTATTCTGTATTTTGGTTCTATGTTGTCTGTCTGTAACTTATGTTGCTGCCTGTTTCAGCCACGACACTCTTGAAAAAGAGATGTTTAATCTCTAGAGGTTTTTCTGGTTAAATAAATGATAAATAATTAAATAAATAAAAATTTCAGAGGGAAAGGAGTATTGTTTTCTGTACTTTTTTGGTAGCTATATTAATTAATTTGCAGGTTAAACTTTAATTTGCATACATATCGTCAGTAGGTAAAATCGGTTTCACCTCAACCAGCTACAACACGAAAATGCAGCTTACACATTGGTGGATTGTATTGTGATGGTGTTGTCATGATACTGGAAATTTGACAAAAACCTTGAAAAATATCAATATTTTCAATACTACGAGGAAAATTAACATCTATGGAATTTTTAATTTCTATTAAATTTTATTGTTTTAGAAATATAATAAGCCTATGATAGGACAATGACGACTTTTCTTTACTTAGTTAGTAGCAAAGAAGCACAGAATGACTGTAGTGAACATTAACAATAAGAGTGAGAATGAGAAAACACAGCTGGTACCAGTGTATTGATACTGCTGAAACCATTGATACCATTGAAACCATTTAAGATATTCCGAATCGATATGTAACACAACAATCCAATCATATAATATATAACAGTAAGACACTTGTACTTGTGATGTTTTTCACAGTTTGGTTTTATACTTTTTCTTTTCAGTAAAGGATCTGAATACTTCTTCCACCACTGAGCTTTCATGTAGTTTTTATAATAATAATAAAGCTCCATTTATACTCTTGTATTCAGAAGACTTTCTTAAATTAATCTTATTTGAGGGCAGAAAATGGATTTTAGGCAAAGATGTAGCACATGTGCTTCAGCGGTATAATCATTCATTTTTAATGAAGTGAAAGATGAAGCTGAAGATGAATAGACAGATAAATGGGATTTGTCTGCCATCTAAATGCACAGAACAATTAATAAAACATGTGTGACAACATTTTTACGAAGCTGTGCAGCTTTATACAAATACCGTCAAGTGTCATCTTAAAGAAAGTAATGGGAGGAAAAAGGGAAGTTCTGACCACACCATCCTGCCGACACCCACACATATGTACGTCTGTTTTATTAATCAACACGTGGCAGTTATTTTTGGGTAGTTTAACCTGCGCAGAGGCAGTCAAACAGCAAAGTAAACATGAGACAAATAATTTTATACTAGTCCAGACTGAGACACTGCTGACAATATTTGCTGTGTAATGTGCTGTGAATAGTAGAAGACGGTGTTAATTAAATTACAACAATATTTACATCATATCTAATACCTAATACACAAGGTAGGTGCAGTCACCTTCAGCATGTTTGCCCTTCATTACCTCTCTAATAACATTACCAAATTAAAAGATTAACTTTTCCTCCATGGGGCTACAGTGCTGCCTACTTGCTGAGCTGTATCCGCTCTCACTTCACTCCACTCCTTCCTCTTCCCTTCCCATCTATTTACCCACTTCCCAAAGTCACTCCTCAGGGGCGGCTGAGAACACAGAGGATCACCACCATTTACCACGGAGGCCTTTACCCTCCTCAACAATTTAAAACAGCTCTCTGGCCATTGTCCTCGTCTGCCCTGCCATCTACAGTCTGACCTCTGATTCATACTAACCAGGGGAGACGGCGTCACACAGTTATCAGTAGGTAGTGAAATTGGAGAATTTAAAAAGGTTGCATGTCTGGTTTCTAGGAAGCAGTGCAAGACATGGATACAATCACGTATAACCAATAAGTAATGTAATAATAATTTCACTTGTAAATCTATTTCACAATCAAGTGACAAACAATGCAGGGATAAATTATCTTCCCCTTAAAAACTGAGGTGAAATGTGTTGAACCAGACTGAAATTATGTTACTTCAGTCATTCATTCACTGCATTTCTCTTATGAGATGTAAGAAATGAAGAGTATATGCAACACCTAAATGACTTGTCAAAATAGATGGGGTTTGCAGTGTGAATCTGCTGAGATGCTGCGATGGGAGGCAAACATGAAGCAAAGATGTGGAGAATGTCGCCCTCAAGTGGCCGCTTATTTACTGACAGAGAGGCATTGTCCAAGCTGAATTATCTAACATGATGTTGATACAACCTCCAAGAGGTCATTTCAGAGGAGCAAAACTCGCTGTAATTTAAAGAATAAAGTAGAAAAATAAAATTGCTATGTATGTGGTATATCCTTATGGATGGCTCCAGGTTGGAATCCTCTCAGAAACAGGTAAAATCTGAGCAATATTTTTAATCTTTCCTGGCTCCACTGTGGTGTCCTGGAGTAAAGCAGTGAGCCCCAAATGTTCCAGATGAGCTGCTAATTAAAGCCATGACATGTATAAAATAAATGTGCTTTGTTGTGGATTGCTAAAAACAAGCATATATCTAAATCAGACCTGTCAAAACAAGACAACTTTAGGGATTAAAGGGACAGTCCATCTCAAAAGTGTAGAAGGAAGCGTGCATCTACTCATGGACGAGAGGATCATGTTCATGACAGCCCGAATGTAAACATTAATGGCGATCTCAATGACTCAGATAAAGGTCTTGTCTACCTGCTGAGGTCGGACGAAATTACTGGTTACACCAGGACAGCACTCAGATGAAGGTCTGTGGATTCTTTTGATTAACCAGGTCATGACTACTGGAAAGATATCCCCACAAGCCAAGAGCCATCTAGTTACATAGTATTTGAGAGAAGGCAGATCTCTACGTCTGATATCTCCAGCACTTGGAAACTCACACCAAAACAATCTAGACTGATAAATAGCATTACAGGTAAGTTGTATTTTTGATTTTATCGGGAAATGTCCCTTTAACACACCTCAGAGAGGCCTGATCTGAAATAAACTGATCCCTTCTAAAAACAAAGAGACTCTCAGACATGCAGTTTGACACTCTTGATTTACACGAGTGGAGTCAGACCTCCCTACCTGAAGAAGTAGATGGTACTTGAGGACTCTCTGCATCGGGACAACCAGCAGGTCCCTCAGTGTAAACTTCCCATTGTTGGCTCTCTTTGAGCACTCCTGCAACAAATACATACACACACATTTAGAGCGACATGAGCATCAATGCATCATTACACAGATGACTTTGGTGGTAATGACACTTTTTCACAAGGACGGGTCAACCAAAAGACAGAACAATGTGTTTGTCATGGCATGCATCTGTTCTTGTTTGTTTTAAAGCTGTCACAAAACCAAACTGTCATGTGGAACAGGATGTGGGATATTTTTGTATCCTGTTTTAAAGTGCATGCCCTGAGCTCACACCTCATAAAGAAATATCATACCTTATATTACTTTTATTTCAAATATACTACATAAAATAATCTATTTTAATTCATTTATACAAGCACAGCATAGTTTTTCAAATTTGCAAAGGCTGGAGTGAGTAAGATACATGCAAATGAAATGCAATGTATGTGTAGTGCACAATATAAACACTAGGGGCCGCTGGAAAACTGGATCTGTGTGTATGGGGGTCAGCATGTATATGTGTTATTCAGGTGTCTCACCTCCAGCTTTAGACGAACATCCTCTTTTTCTTTGCAAATGAGGTCTAAAACAGCGATGGCGATCTCCACGTGACTGCAGTATATTCCATAAATAAGCAGTCTGCAATTCAAAATAAAGACAGTGGAACCATTGGACAGTGGCTTGTCGAGAGCCAGACAGTGATAAAGTGCTCACTTAAAATTAGTGTAACTCGTAATATGGTGCAATCATGTTGCTCGTGACGAAGATGGTATCAAGAGATTCTCTGGCACGGAGTCTGTTGCAAGACAGTCAACTACTACATAGTAATATGTCTGAGAAGAAAATCCTTCCTCTAATATGTGGAGATCATTTTGTAGATTATAGAGAACTGAATTAGAACAAATGCCATAAAATAAGAACCTATTTAAGATACACATAGCAACATGTAGATGCTTATCATTTCCAAATGCCAGCCTGTGTGCAGGAAGGATCCATATTTCAGAATCGTCTGATGTAAATCAAATATACACATCCGCTTGTCTGTATGTTTGTGCCAGTGTGTTGATGTCAGATTGCAAGGGGGAAAGTACAGTGACCTAGTCGACCTTAAATGAAACCTTCTATACATGATCACTGAGAGATAACTCAACAAAAGGGAGGGAAATTTAGGGAGATGCCCTTGCAGTTGCAGCTCACATACTTTCTTTGTAACCTAAAGATGAATGCAAATAGATGGTGTTCGTGGATACCTTTCTTTGTAGCTGATGAAAATCTGGTAGAGATTTAAGGCATTTTTGTTTAAGATGGAGTCCTGCACGTCGATCATCAGGCTTTTGTGAAGTTTAACCAGATCCTGCGTTAGAGAAAGACAACATTGGTATCTGAACATTTTATTTCAATGTGGGGACAAAAAGGGAAACTTGCGGGACTTACAGGAATGTTGACAAAAACTTTGTCGATTTCAGATGCGGAGAAGAATTTCTTCAGAGGATTCAGAAAATACTGGAGAAAGAAACAAAACCTTAATGTAACATATTAGCGTCTCTCCTCAGTTTCTTTCATCAACTGATTATTTTACTGGAATCTATAAATAATATGATCACACATACTGAAACTGTAAACAGACATCAGATTATATATCATAGCAGGTCAAGTTGGGGAAATGATAACTGGGAATTTCCCTGAAATCCACCTTTAAATTACATTTGTCTTATTTTTCTTTATTACTGATTTAATTTAATTTTGTTTTATTTTATTATTTTTTATTTTATCATTTTGACATCTCCTGTTGTGACAAATTAGTCCATGATAATTTTTTCTACTGATCACAGATCAATGATGTACACCAAAACTGTACAGAAATGTATGTGCTTTACCCAAAGAAAACCACTTGTCTGTCATGTGACGATATATCATCTCAGTGCTCTATAGAAAAGTAGGAAGTTTATGTACCTTCTCAATGGACTCCAGGGTTTCTGTGTATTTCTCCTCCGTCTGTTTTATCTCTGTGAGGCAGCAGCTCCGGACATCCACCTCTGCCTGCTTCTAGAAGGACGCACAGCTTAGAAAATGTTGCTCAACAATCTTTTTCTTTTGTTTATCTGCAGACAGTAAAGTGAGTTTGTGTATTCAGACTATACTCAACGACATCATCGTAACTATCTGTATTCAGATCATATCACCAACTTTCTAACCTCTGATAAGTTTACTTTTCGTTTCTAAAACAAATTATTTACGGACGACAGTATTTTTTAAAGCAGCATGTGCACACTTCCTCCTGCGTGTATCTCACACAGCAATAAGGTTCAGCAGGAGGCTGATGAATGGGCGGTCCACATGACTCTGAGATCCCAGCTGAGGTCGACCCCTGCAGGTCTGAGTGATAACAACAAAATCATTTCGAACATAAATCAGGGAATGGGAAGAATTTCCCTCTGGTTTGCATAACATCTATATTTTTTGTTTAAAAAGACTTACTGTTGTAAACATAAGTGGATGTAGCACTGTCTTAGTTAAGTTATGATTATTTTTTCTTAGATATACAGGTATTACCCATATGTAACATTCTTAGAAGTGTTATTGATCCAAATGGATCATTCTTTCAATTATACAAAACTTTGTAGCATACTTTAATAATATCATCCTCTTTTTGTATCTGTTATCTCAATTTGATTTTGGCTAGTCAATCATAGATAACTATGGAAGAAAATAAGATGGTTTATACATGTCAGTGATTTGGTCTTTCATACTTGTCCCATTCATAACTGTGAATCCTTGCTCATGAAGATTAATAGGGATATTACCCTGACACATAGTAACAACTAATTACTATATTTTGTTTTTCTATTTGTCAGGGATAATGCAAAGGGCTAGTTTCATCTGCAGCCCCTGAGAAGACTGATAACAGTTAAAAACAAAAATGTTAGAATATTTCCATGTACTTACATGACATGCATCATTAGTTTACACTTGCAGCACACTTGACAAGTAACAGCAAATGGGAAAGTGTAAGTAATAACGGGACCAATATAGAGCCATGTGGCACTCCAAGGTAATAAAACAAGTACCTTTACTCAGCAACTGTGCATAGCTATTTTGAGCTACTGGTACTTTACTTGAGTATGACCACTTTATCAAACTTTATACTTGTACTCCACTGCATATTAATGGATTTTTTCTCTAGTATCTCTAATGACATCTCTATTTACTAGTTTATTTTCCAGATTTAAATTTGACATACAAACATTGGATGATCTTATAAAATATGATACATTATTACAGATTAAGATACCGTATAAACATTGTTTATTAAATCCACCTTGATCAGCTACAATTATGCATCTACAATAATTATCCAATAATATAACATTTAAAATAAAACACACTCTAAGCAGAGAGACCTTGCATTGTAGGTTCTTTTACTTTGGATGCGTAAAGTAAAAATTATCATACAAATGCACCTTTACTTGAGTATAATTTTGAATGCAGTTTACTTGTAACCAAGTATTTTTACATTAATGTACTGGTAATTTAATTTTAGTAAAGAGCCTCCATACTTTAAGATATCCTGATGCAGAGTTAGAGAACAGAGTTTGATCCAGTTGTACCAGGTGAGAAGTTCAAGTGTGACATTGTAGCAATTAGGGTATTGTTGGTTATAGTCCAACAACATCCACCCCCTGGAGGGTGCGTGTGTGCGTGCGTGTGTGTGTGTGTGTGTGTGTGTGTGTGTGTGTGAGGGTGACTCATTGCATTACCAATGGGGGATGCTGCTCAGTCCTCATGAGGTCTTCATAGATCTCTCCACCAGCGTAGTCTTCCTCCACCCCATAGACCGCCGCATACAAGTCGTCCTCATCCTCAGGGACATTCTCACTGTCACACACACATTAACATGTCTTAAATGTGTTGGTTATCGGTCACAAATTACTTAATCAAGCTGTGAGGCAACAATTTTTGGGTAACGGAGAGAGCAATAGCCTATGTTAAATTAAATGGTAAAAAGTAACACACAAAAAGCAACACACTTTCTGTACATCGTAAGCATGACGTGTATGTTTTCTATCATTATAAAAATAATAGTGTGGAGCAATAATACAAGAAGAATCAAGATTAACCTGTTCAAACTTTGTTCTATACATTTTGATTACTCTTTCATCTTTTACCTATCAATCAAGCTGCCAGCAGCACCCATCCAGAACCTAGATGTGGGTGGTATGCCAGCACTCAGCAAAAACACGCAGAATTACTCATCTGTTCCCTCTGACAGTAACAGAGAAATGGAGCCAAGCCTTTTACCAAAACATGTGGGTGTCCAGAGCCCTGGAGAGCCTGGATGATGAGCAGAGCTGGTTCTGCTACTAAGTGAAATAATCATGTTCTATCAACACCAGTAATGGCCCCGTGGAGAGGAGCCTCATACATACTCAATCAAGTCTTCCAGATTATTGTAAATGTCCTCGTCTTTTAGGCTCTCCTCTGTTGGAAATGGCCTGGGAATGACAGCAAAGCAGCATGAGGCTCAGTGTTTAACTGAAAAATCACATAGCAGGAACTACAATCAATGAGTCACTTTGGGCAGGATAGTAACTTTTGATGTGTTGAAATGGATTCAGAAATGCAAAATAGCTCAATATGCTTTTGTACAGCGGAAAATGACACAAGTTGGTTAAAACTAGCTTGGACAAGTCCACTAATTTATCAGTGCAGCTTGATAACAAGCAATTCAGGGCCCGGAGCCACATTTTACTGAGATGGAAATCTGCAACTCCCTCATTGTCACATTCAGTGGATGCCGAAAAATGATCTAGATGGCAAAACAAAATATACAGAACACATTAAAAGAAAACTCCACATAACACAACTTTAATCCAGTAGAAAAGTCACAGGTGTGTGTACTCTCATCAATACATTTTTCTCTGATATATTCAAATGTTATAAAAACATATCTTATTTTTTATTTAATATATTTTGCCATTATTAGTGGGAGTGCTACGTTTACTGAAGTATTTTTAAAAAACAGATTGTTTAAGAATCAGCATTTGGGCAAAAATGGTGTCATTTCACAGAAAACACCTGTTAAAACAGGAAATTAGTGACTGAGCTGTGGCTTAATGTGGCGGCAGTGTGGGTAAAAAGGTTATGAAGTGGCAGTTAAGTGTACTTTTTCTAAAATGTGTAAGCATTTTTTAAGCAGAACTTGGACAACTTTATGAAATGTAACTAACTTACCTGAATCCTCCTTGCTGTGCTATTGATGTGTAGGAGAGCTTGGATAGAGTGTCCATAACCTGGTGAAAAAACAGTTGTGTTAAATCATGTTTTTGATTGGCTCAGAGAGACAGACACATACAGAGAGCAGGAGAGGAGAGACAAAGAGACAGAGTTAGAGAAAGAGAAGAAATACTTGCTATGTTAATGTCATGTTCATCACAAATAGAAGTTATTGCACCAAAGCAAAAACCAAACCCTAGCTGAAACCTTGAAAACCATTTACAAACACTTAGCAACCAACTAGCTACCACTTAGCAAACACTTAGGTGACGTTTACCCTGGGGATGCTGGAAACATGTCACCACCACTTTTTGAAATGGCCGATTTTGTCCCCATCGCTTGCACCAAAAAATGTTAAACAACAAATTAACAACATCAACATAAACCACTGTTACTGTGATTTTACTATGCCCGGAGAAGTACAACCCACTTCAAGGGGGGGTAATTTGATCAACCGAATTTTAAGAAAGGAAGCATTTTGGATCCATGCATTGACTACACTTGAGCCATGTGGACTTATTCCCTGTCATTCCCCCTTTCCGTCTGACAGTGTAGGGGGACAGAAGTAGTTCTTTATAAATTCTTCATCTCAGTCATCTACGTAATGGGGTGAGGTTAAATCACATATCATTCTTGTAACTCTTGTAACTCTTGTACTCTCGTACAGTGTGAATGTACTATGCTTTTTGGATGAATTGAAAATCATCTTTTAAAAAATGATTTTGAAGAACGTGAAAGAAAAAATATTGCAAAAGAAAAGTGAAATAACTGTGATAATTAGTCATGTGACCCATGTATATTTAGCACAGCTGTGAGTACTCATGTGATTCTGTTGAGCAAACGTGAAGAAGCTGCGGGTGAAATGTGTTGTTCGCTGTTCTGAAAATCACAGTAATTCAGTTCAGTGTGCCCTGGTTTATGCCAGAGAGATGTTCCTACAGCCATTTGTGCCGTTGAAGTGAATGGGGGCCACATGCACATTTTAAGGTCTAGTGTGTAGGATTTAGTGGCATCTGGTAGCAGAAATGAAACTTCCACTGTGTGCCAAGAATGTAAGAGAACTACAGTGGCGAAAGCAAAACTACAAAACCATAAATAGCCTTATCTAGAGCCAATCTTTGATGGACTCTGTGGGAGAGGACCCGCTCCATATGTAGATACAAAAGGCTCATTCTAAGCTAATGAAAACACAATGTTTCTTATTTTCAGATTATAAAACTAATGAAAACATACTTATGAATATTGTATGCCATGTCTGCCAATAGATGTCCCTAAATTCTACACACTGGACCTTTAAAGAGGTTACTAGAAAGGACGGAAAGGTAAATCATGCCTACATGTGTGCTGACTCAGCAGGGATAACAATAACTGAGAAAAGCTGATCTCCAGTACGAAACATATTTCAAAGCAAGACAGAATGCCTGACAGCCTTACTGCATTATACTCCATTATAGCTGTATAGTTTGAATTGACACCTGGTGCCTCAATTTTTTTGTTTTCCTTTACATAAATAAAAACATTTCCACCATAATTCGGTGCATAAAAATTTCTTTGATGCTCAAAATGTGAAGTTGTAGTAGCTGCAATGGTGGTGGTGGGTCATGGATGTGAAACAAGCTAACAACAACACATTCCTTTAACAGAATAAAGCCCAAGTAGGAAGAATTTGACCATAAAATTCAGTATTTGCAATGCTCACAGCAAAATATGTCAGAGCGAATTTAGCCTGAGTGAAAACCAGAAGAACACATGAGACTTTACTGAGCTCCTTCAAAATCTGACTCATCTTTCTCTCTCTCGTTTTTTGTTCCTTACATTCCAAATTATTATACTTAAATTGTAAATGTTGTACGGTGTGTTCGGCAAACTTTTACTTTATCATTATCATGCCAATAAATAAACTTCAAAGTGACAGCAAGAGACGGCCAGAAGACGAACAGACCGAGAGACAGAGAAAGACATGCATGGTCTGCAGGAAATGGTCACGCTACCTCAGACTCTCACACCTTTGCATCTGACTGTGTGTGCAAGCATGTGAGAGTGTGTGTGGTGGTGGTGGGGGTGGGTGTGATTGTGTGCAAGATAGACAGAGAAGAGGAACAAAAAGTGAGACAGGTCTGATAAACAGATCTATACTGCAGCTATGACACCAATGAATCCGTATGTTGAAACCTCTCGTTACTATCAAATAATATCAAAATGAAAATTTCCTCACTTTTGTTAATAGAAAGTCACTTACAAGTAAAAGTACATTGGGTGTCTATTTATGTGTCTGAAGTCTGCTAACACAAATAAACTGACTGTAATCTGTGCTATAATAATCCATAGTGTTGTTCCTGTCTGCACACTGACCAAACAGATGAACCACAGGATGTTGTAATCAACTTGTCTTGGTCGATTTTGGGGCGTAAAGTATTGACAGTTGGCACAGTGCAGTCAGTAGATGCTATCAGAGAAACAGTGAAAGGAAGGATGTGTTTGATGAGGATGATAAAGTCCTCAAAGTAAAAATTATGACGACTGCATTTTATGTTTCATTACAAATTTAATCATTTTATGCTTTTATCTCCAAAAGAGATCTCCCAGATTAACTTTGCAATTTTTGTTTAATATGAAGACGTTTCTAGCAATAACGCTGCATCTGCTTTCAGCGTTTGGATTTGCCGACATGGTTAAGAAAGATAGCTAATGAGGTCTGTAAGAACAGCCTCTCTATCTGCAGCTTATCTCTTCTTCCTGTGTGAATGAGTGCTGTGGCTGTGGCTGAACCCAGGTGTTCTTGTCACATGAAAGAGTTCTGTTTGTAGTGTGAGCGACCAGCTTTAAAACTGCAAAACACCTTTGCATCTTTACAAGTTATTTACAGCAGCCGAAATCATGTCTTTCCTGCAATAAAACAAATATTTTGCCTTTGAAGTAAGATTATTTCACTTATTTGAAATGTGATGTTTTATATTTGCAGCTCTAATAATTGATTGTGTATCGTCATTCCACAACTAGTCACCTGAAACTCACTGTGGTCCTAGAAGTCACGTCAAGTCAGTCGATTTAAGAAACTGAAACGCTGAAAATTGATTCTGCATCAGAATCTCTATTGAATTTGTCTTAACAGCATTGTGTTTTTTACACATTACATGAATGATTTGATTTCTGTGGTATCTTTGCAAAAGGAAGAATTTTTGTCACTATTAAGTTCATCCTGCCGCACACATCACACCCATCACAACTGATTTAACACTGATAGTGATAGCTGATGCTGCGTGAGGTTAATTAGTTTGTTTTTAAAGACGTATTTCTGAATTGGGAAAACAGCTTTCAGAGGACAAAGTAGACTATCAGTTAAGAACCCGTATAAAATATTTCTTTGCTTTCTTTATTGAACCGTAAATCCCTCTAGGCTGCCTGAAAAACAAATTGTTCTCACACCTGCCGATAGTTTAAGCCACATGAGTCTTGAGAAGCAAAGCCACAAGCTGAGCTCAAGCCCACAGTGGTGAGTGTGGCCTGTTTACGAAGTGTAGCTTTAATTCTTTAAGCACCGTGACAAAAAAAAGATATAATGAAGGACTGACAAACCATAATGTCATAAATCACATAGGCATGCCTGAGTCTGTTATTTTGTTACCTGAAATAAACAAGAGTGTATGAGTGTATTTAAAGAAATATTATACAGTGTGGAAACATGCAGCTGTGGTTATGACCATATGCATGTGAGGAAACATAGGATTATAAATAAAAGTTAATGATTATATGCATTCAAAATTATATCGATTAATTTTTAACGTGATGACCAAGATTTTTTAAATAAATTGTACAATAAATTTCTACAGTCAGGGATCTGCTCATTTACAGTCAAAATTCAGGAATATAATCAACACATTTTTAACACAATAATGTAGCTATGTCTCAATGCAGGGGCTACAGCCTTTGAAAGACGCAGCCTTCATGGTCTACGTCAGCCATGTCCTTTGAAGACTGCATCAGCCAAACCAAATGGTCTCCGAAATGATATGGTCTGGTCTGCAGAAGATTTCCTGGTTGCATCCCCAGTTGCTCTCACCCTGACTCGTTGGCGCTCCTGTTACCTAGCAACCAGCTGCACTTGACAAAAGATGGAGTAAGCTAGTAAGTCAGTTAGCCCTTTTTTTAATTCAATAATTCAGAAGATGATTCACCATATGAGACACAGCCGTTTTATATATATCCGGTTGATGGAGTTTTCAGGAAAACTTATTAAATTAAGACTGTTTAAGCTGTGTGCTTTTAGCTAATAGTAATGTTAACAACAGTTAACCGTTAGCTAGTTAACAACCCCAGTATGGTGCCTAATCAGTCCGATGAAATTTGCTTGCCTGGCGCATATAGCGAAAAAAGCTTCTAGCTTCCATTGAAAATTAGCTGATAGACTTTACACTGTGATGATGTCATGGATATTTAAATAGTTTTTCTCGGCTTTAAGCTAGTTTAACAAATTAACAACCTCCATGGATCAAAAAATTCACATATGAAATGTCATAACTGACTTTATCTGCAGGTCAAGGTGTCCCATCAACAGTTATACAGATCTCTCGTATATAATGGTGATCCATGGGGAAAATGCTTTTTGGGTCACGTGATTTTTTTTTTCACTGCAATACCGTGAGTGGCCACTGGGAAAAATTGAAACAAGGCTGAGCTGCTTTCCTGGGCTTCTGGTTAAAACTCAGCCAGAGTGCATCAGAGATGACCTTTTTTTTTTTGTTTTGTTTTTGTTTTTTTTTTGTAGACAGTACGTGAAAATTAGCGTCACCCTGGTTCCCTCCTCGTTCCCCTGAGATTTTGGATTACTACAGAAAATAAGCTCTGTGGCAAACAAACGTTTATGATACTTACAAGTTTTGTTCAGCAAGATAATCTTCACAAACGATCATCACTTTAAAGATTTTTGAAGTTTATGTGCAATCACCAGAAGTAAAAAGCTAACGTTAGGCTATAAATGACTACACAGCAGTTGCATGACTTGATGTCGCCACCACAA